GCCAAGGCCACCGTGATCCACGACAAAGACCTCGGCTCACATGACCCTCTGACCACGTGCTGACTTTTTAATTAAAGTTTTTGGGTCAAAAGTTTGCAGGAAAGGTTTAGCCGACGATTTATCAGCTGATGGAGACCACATGGTCAGTGTGAAACTAAACTTTCCATGATGTTACGATGATGTCAGGGTGTAATGTGCAGCGACACGTCCTCAACATGAAGGGAAATAGTCATTTCCAGTCTTATCAGTGTTGAATGATCATCAAAGCGGTTCCACCAAACTCAGATTTTGTTTTTTCTTTTTCTTTCTTTTTTTCCCATCAGCTCCTGGCGTCACGCTGGCCTTTTGACAACAGTGCTTTTGGCCTGGGTCTGTGTAAACTGGTGCCCTTCCTGCAGAAAGCCTCCGTGGGCATCACTGTTCTCAACCTGTGTGCTCTCAGCGTGGACAGGTCAGTGAACTGTTACTTAAAATGTTTGACTTTACTCCCAGGAAAGTCTGTGTGTGAGCCAACAAACAGACGTCTCTGATGAACTCCAAGATCCTTTTTCTAACAACGAGAACCAGCAAATGGATTATTGGATTTCATTTCACAAGAAATCACATTAAAAAATATGAACAAACAAAAATCTAATAATTTAAGTCTGGCAAATGTCTCCATTTAGAATGAAAATTAGACTTTTGTTTTGTAAAATATTCCCAAAAACTGAACTGTACTATATTTTAAGGCTAACTAAAGTAGCCTGTTTAATGAGATCATTCATTGATGATATTAATTAGATAAAATTTTAAATCCAAAATGACATGCACTCTATCTGTCCAACCACTCATCATTGTCGACTACACAGTCAGTACACGTTGACATTTACACACACTGCTAGAAAGAAGACTTCACTAAACACAGGTGTGAAACATCTTCATCTACTTCCTGTCTTTCTGTCTCTGCAAGACACTGTGTTTTGAGACAGATTTTTCAAACTTTAAAATTAAACAAACTATGACGTTTTCATATAGTTTCAATCAAATGAATCAGCAGATAACAAATGGATGGTTCGATGGACACACACATACAGCATATATTCCACAGGCGCAGAACTTGGCATCAGAAACGTGACGCAGGTCCAGTTTACCAGCAGGTTGTTTTTTAATAGAACCCTTATAGAATTTCCTTAATAAATAAATAATCGCAATAAAGTGCTGAAGCCCTGTATCATCTCACTCTGGTCCAGATGCATCTTTTATGTTGATAAGAGGTGGACTTTATGCACTGAACAGTTCAGTTAGAAGACATTTAACGACCTCTAATAGAAGGAGAGAGGAGAGAGAGTGCAGCGGCAGATGCTACGGCATTTGTTTCCACATTTCTTTGTCTGATTTTCAGCGTTGGGAGGAAGAGAGAAAAAAACCCACCACCATAGATACACAACCACTTAGTAAAATATAAATGCCGCCATGTTGCTCGACAGAGAAATTCAAATGTGTCATGAAAAATATATTGTTTCGCCATAAAATCTTGATGTGGGATTTTAGTAACACATTTCGACAAGTGGTTTCCATTAAAGAAACAAACGAGTATGACTGGGTGGGAAACACAAGCCAACGCAGACCCTTCTGCCAACGTGGGCCGCTCTGTTTGGAGGCCTCACCAAAATATAAATATTAGATATTATAGATAAACAATTGATCATCTCTCAGCATCAATTCTTAACATTTTGAGTGTGTGTGTTTACAATCTCTGTCAGCTCTTTCAAAAGAGACAATGGATTATATATTATATTACATTGTCTATAATATAATGTGTTGTCGAAAATTTGCCAATTTTGTTAAATATGGTCTGAATTCCATTATTTTATTTGCTGCACTTGTCTTCGTTTGTCCATGCGACAGAGACAGGCAGAACAGAACGGAACAGACCCCTAGCTGTTTAAGGAAATGTTTCCAGTTTGTCTTTCTTCAATTCCTGCGAGCATATGAGCAGTGTGTTCAACTAAACAGGCGCAGGTTTTATACCGTGTGAACTGGAAATAGATTATATTTAATTCTACATACTTTTGGGGACATATTTGTTTGGTGCGTGGGATTTCTCTAATGTAAATCATGTGCAGTTGACACTAAACATGGTAATGTTGTTTAATTCCCTGTGTCTCAGGTACAGGGCTGTGGCCTCGTGGAGCAGAGTACAGGGAGTGGGCGTTCCTCTCCTTACCGTCATTGAGATCGTGTCTATCTGGGTGCTGTCACTCATCCTGGCTGTACCAGAGGCCATCGGCTTTGACGTTGTCACATTCAACTACGGCAATGAAACCATACACTCCTGTATGCTCAACCCCAAAAGTGACTTCATGGAGGTACGTTTTATTTCCTTCCTGTACTGAACACACTTAGATAAGAGCGTTGAGTAGAAGATGTCTTTTCTTGTCTCGTTGTTTTGCTTCGGTTCAGGCCGAGATGTGCTGTGTGTTAATGTACAAGCACAGAACGCAGGCTGTGACGAGGAGACAAAACACTGCAGGACTAATGAGATAGGAACGGCACCTGCAGGAGCAGTACTTAACGTGAAAGTGCAACCTCATAAACTCCACTCTTGGTTTAATGGCCTGAATTTATTTATAGAACATCTTTAAGACACGATTTCCTGAACTGAAAACAAAAACTTTAAGACACCGAAATCGATTATATGACACGATTTCCTGAACTGAAAACAAAAATAGAGAGTAGAAGTCAACCCAGTGAATTAAAATACCATTTCATGTCTGGAGCTGAGAATATGACACTAATCTGACTCTCGCTCTCTCTCTCTCTCTCTCTCACCATCTTTGAAGAACATAATTGATTGCAGACTCAGTATAATTATTTGCCTGAAACCTGATTCTTCTGAGTAAAATGTGCCTTTATTTACACCATATGCACAAAAGAAACAAAACAAATTTGTCGTTTTGTACCGGTGACATTTACCAACAACAACCTCAACCCATACGTTTTTGGGTTGTTTTTGTTTTTTTGCTAATGTTTAGCAGCATTTTGCAGATTTAACTTTTACAGATAAGGTTCAGGGATTTTCTGTGGTTTCAAATGTTTTTAAGAGTTAAACTGGAATTTTTCAGACAGCGTAAGCCAGAAGCAATAAAATTCTGTAGAGTTTCCAACTCCGTGTGTGCAGCACTCAGTCACGCAGGAGTCGTCTGGTGGTGGTTTAAATCTGTGTCAAGTTAAGGTCCAACAGCAGTGCAGTTTCTGAGGTTATTCCCATGTTTGAAAGCTGTAATCTCACACTGCAGTATCACAGTATATGTGTCCTGATTTGAATGGAGAGACTGCATGGCAATTATACAAGAATGTAATTAGCTCCCCCAGTGGCCTCCAACCTTATCTGCACCACAGACCAGTGCAATAAACAAGAACAATAAAGTGCATCATATATAATTCAAACTTTACATTTATGACGTAAATGTACTTATCATTTTGTTATGTACTTTCATTGCTATTATTATTACATTGTAACTTACACAGAGGAGTGAGCAAATTTACAATATAAAACATCGTGCAGACTAATGCCACTTTTCACTTTGTTGCATTAAAGTGTATTTGAAGCATAGTGAAAAATGCAATACATCGTCTATTGTGAATGTTCATTACTATGTGACACAAGCCACGTGTTTAACACTTGCTGGTCGTTGTAGTTTTACAGGGACGTCAAGGTCTGGTGGCTGTTTGGCTTCTACTTCTGTGTACCTCTGGCCTGCACGGCTGTCTTTTACACTCTGATGACCAGTGAGATGCTCAACCACAGGAACGGCAGCCTGCGTATAGCTCTGAGTGAGCATCTCAAACAGGTCTGTAAAACTGACGTCATTATTGAGGCTCCAGAATTAGAGCCGAGAGTCTAAAAGATGAAACCACTGTTGAAATCAAGTACAAGTCCAGACAGACACAGAAACACGACACAGTATGAGGCTCCAGTTTCTCATCTCCAGAAAGAGGTGACAGCAGCGCAGTAGTCCTTAAATTCAGGACGCATGACTCAACTTGGACTCTGAAGATTGTAGACTTAATCACAAAACCCTGGGGACGGGAACTCGAACAGATGACGAATATTTCTTCAGTGACATCCACTTAGACTTCAAACCCATGGGGAATCCACACATTTCAACATTTCTTCCTGCATTCTGATCAGACTTTCCACAATCTCTACTTTCAGCATCTCCTACTAGAAAAGTCTTCTGTTCTCAGCCTTTAAATCAGTCATATTGAATACTTCATATCTGTGACAGACAACAGTGGGTGTGTTTTGGTCTGATCAGTACTGTACACAACAAGAACAAAAAGACATCGAAATCCCATGATGAGTTTTTTTGTCTTGGTCTGATCAGTACTGTACACAACACGCAGGAAAAAAAAGACATCGAAATCCCATGATGAGTCTAAATTAGTGATTAAAAAAACACGAAATAATCAAGTCATAAGACTAGCTGTGGCTTGATGATTAATCATGATTACTTGGGATTAATTAATAAATTATATTGCTGGGACAGAGATCCATTTAACAAATGTGTCATCACGCAGCACGCCGCGCGTCTGACCTAAAGCTGAACCCTCCACCAACATCCTGAGCGTTGTGGTGGCATTTTAAGCTCAAGCTGCTTCAGTGTGCGTAAATAACAACGTGTGTATCGACTCTGCATTAGAGCTACGATAATTGGATGGACAGTGGAATTATTGGATATATAGTGCACGTCCTTCTTCATATGCATTAAAAATGATGTTTAACCAATAAGGACACTCTGTGTCCAGCCTATAATGATTCTTTGTTTCTTTACCACAGAGGAGGGAAGTGGCCAAAGCTGTCTTCTGCCTTGTGCTCATCTTTGCCCTCTGCTGGTTTCCGCTGCACCTCAGCAGGATTCTTAAGAAGACGGTTTACCATCAGAATGACAAAATGAGGTGTGAGCTGCTGAGGTAAGAAGCCATAACTCAGATAACCCTAACCTACCACAAATGCCAACTGTGATCACTCGTCAGTGAGACAAGGAAACGACTAACTATTTAACCTAATCTTACACTTTTGATTTCTGCAGTTTCCTCTTGGTCCTGGATTACCTCGGCATCAACCTCGCAACTATCAACTCCTGCATAAATCCAATTATCCTTTACTTTGTGAGCAAAAAGTTCAAGAACTGCTTCAAGGTAAGATACTCCCACCAACAGGCGGATACAGCTGCACGTAACAAGACCTTGGAAACACACACACACAAACGTAAAACACGCACACACACACTTAATATGGTGGATTTAGGCCTGGGCAGAAAAGAAAACAATGAACTCAGGCTTTTGTTGTTGTCGCTGAGGTTATGATGACCTCTTATGTGAAAGCAGCCATTGGATTTATGTGAGCATGATTTATGTTGAACGTCAGGTTCTGGACGAAGAGCAGGCCTCGAGTCTGCCTGCTGTGGGAAGTGAGAGCAAAAACATTTACAGACACAAACGGCTGTGCTGCCAGAAAGGACAAAAGGCCACGAGAAAAAAATCTAATTTACATTCAATAATAGAAAAAAATGTTTTTTCAAAGTATGCAGGAATTTGGGCTAATGTTGAAAACATTCATGAAAGTGAAAGAATAGTAGTAGAGTTGTAAAGAATAACAATACTATAACACTTTCACAATGAAAAGTCACTTGCAAAAGAGAAAAAGGGGAAAAGAGAAAGTAGTGACAGGGGGCGTCATCCTTGTAGATTATCCTAAGGTTAATGCACGGTGTACATTATAAAAAAAAGAGTATCTGTATTTTAACATTTTATGTTTCTTTCTTCCCTCTTCCTCAAGTCCTGTTTGTGTTGCTGGTGCTACTCCGACAACCAGCTGAGCAGCATCGGTCCCATGAACGGTACCAGCGTCCAGTGTAAAAGCCCAGAGCCCAACAACCTGAACAGCGACCGCAGCATCAGGAAGTACAGCAACTAAAGTCCCCCATAATGAAGCTTTGTAAATTCTCCAGCAATCGTATCCCATGTTAACACCACTGTGAGGCCGAACGGTGACTTTTCCCAAAGAACGGTCAGAAACTCCCGACGCTGAGAGCAGAGTGTGGTTTGTTTCCGATGTGATGAAAAGGACGGGTTGTTTGTGTTTTTCCCTGATTGTTCAAAGTTAGCCACGTGTTTATTATTGTAGCCACGAAGACAAAGGTCCAGCTGCAGCAGGAAGTGCTAATATGATGATATCAGCATCAGCAGATGTTCGTGTCGGTGGACATGAGCGACCAACACGCGGCTCTACCCTGTCGTCGTGAGAAGAGCAGGATGGTGGGCAGATGAGGTACTGCGTTGTATTTTTTGTAGGTCATACCACGCAAGATTTTACTCAAATGGACAGGAAAGACCTTCTTTTAACTGCACTGTGAATTTTACTATACATACTTATAAAAAGTTAAAGTGTGCATGTAAGCAGAGGAATATTTACTGTAAATAGTGCCCACTTTTATAAAGTGTTATATATAACAGAGACATAGAAGTATTGATGGTGGTAGCACATAAACATATAGGAACATTTTTGTTTGTTGTTTTTTTAAATATAGTTATTTACATTAAAGGCCAGACATGGTTGAAGGAAAACCACTTGTGTTAAACATGGAGTTACTGTCAGCTGCTGGTTAGCTTATTATAGTAACACTGAAGAAAAACGCTGTGTGTTCTGGGAAAGATCATTTTTATGAGTTTTCAAATCCAAATTTGCAATCCTCAGAAAGGACTTTGATAATCAAATCACCGACTGTGGTGAGGTTTATTCTAAGGTCTGTTTATTGGAGCAAGATGGATCACTCTCAGGGACTTACTGGAAACATGAAGAGGCCGTGTCCACAGAAAGAAACGAAAAGTGATGTCAGAGGACGTGCTTTTTCAGCAGCTCTAATATCAAGTCCCAGTTGCTGAAAAAACATGTAAAAATAAAAAAAAACTTTCTAATCCCAGCAACTTTACAGTCAGATAGAGTGGCTTTTTTTTTTTTTTTTGGCTATAATTTGGCACTTGAAACACAATCATGTTCCGCTTTATATTGTAATGTTCAAACATGATTTAAAACAATATTTACGGTTGTTCTGCTGGCCTGATTCTCAGCAGTGCGGCAATTTCCTGGGTGAGTGAACCTAAGCTAAGCTAAGCTCCATGCTGCAGCTTTATATTTAACATGCAGAAACAAGGGTGGTATCAATTTAACCGACGCTCAGCAAGAAAGTAGCCTACAGGAAATTGCAGCCTTGCGGTGTCGATGACATGTGGAAATCATCCTCAGAACAACTGAACCTTATTCTGTGTCATATGTGTGTGTGGACTCATGTAAACCTGTGTGTGTGTGTGTGCCTTGGTGTGTGTTGCACTTCATTTTCTGTTTTGCAGAGTTTTGTATAAATATGTAAACCAAACCCAGTGTTAACGGTGCAGTATTATATTTTTACCACAATTCATTATGTTATACTTGAGATATGTATGAACTATAGGGAATTTCTTCTTTGTGTGTTGGTTTCAAGTGTAAACCTGATATTATTGCTGCTGCTGCTTGTATCAATAAATCATTTTCCATCTCAAGCACAAAGAGTTTTGTTTATTTTGCTGTCCCCCCCCCCCCCCTCTAGTTTCTAAAAAATGTGTGTCTGGGATTAATGTGGAGCACACTGACCTGCTTGGCCACAGAGCTTTTAGGGTTAGTAGTGTCAGCGGATGTGAACTGCTTAGATGGTGGGAATGTCGTGTGTTTAAGTCACTTCTCATCTCTTGCCAAAAAGAACGTGGATGATGAAGGACGCTAAGGTCGAAAACCCTTAAGAACAACAGCCCGCTGCAAACGTGGCTCTATCAGACATAAGTCATGAAACTTGATGAAACCCAAACATAAATTGATGTCAGAATCAGGCTCCAGTTAGTGGTAAAACAATAGCAGTTCGATGATGATGATGAAAATAAATGAACATGAACATTTTGGTGCCTGGTTTGTCCAGTTAGAAAACTAAGGTAGACGTGAAGATTACTAAGTGATAAAACTGTCCCTACCTGTACATTTTTCTTCCTAACTACCTACTTGTTCCCCCACACTCAGACGACACACCAATATTTTTATGGTCCAGACTTCTATTTATCCAAGTCTTAATATCTTTTCCTTTTGCTGGAACTTGGAGGTCTATAAAAATGGCTAAAGTCCAGCACATTATTCCTTCTCCAGCAACAAAAAAATAACAAACAGTCCAACACTTGGCTTGGTGTTTAGTGGTCAAGGCCAGACTTTGAAGTGAATCCAGTGACCACAAACAAAAAAATCAAAGACGTGCATACTGCTAATGATGATAGGTGCTGTCAAAATATATTGCATAAAACTAAATTAACTTCAGTAGTTTTTCTTTTTTTCAAAGGGAATGAAGGAGAAGTAAAGGTCATCTCATAGATAGAGAGCAGCTGTATGTCTGCCAACGCTTGTTAGATAGTTAGTCTGGCTAAAAGAAAAAAATCAAAAGTAGTAAAGATTTAGCATAATAAAGCTAAAATGTAGCCAAACTAGCTGCAGTTTAATTTTACAAAAGATAACTACAAGTTCAGTGGCTAAAATTTTGCATAACAAAAAAAAACTACCCAAGTTAGGCTGGGTGAATTTGAGCTAAACATTAGCAACCTTGTAGCCATTTGACTAAAGTAAAAGAAAAAAAGTAGAATTTATTGTTTTTAAAATTGTTTTGGTACAATCAAACATATGTTTGACATATGTTTGTCTGCCTTGCCCCGTCATTGTTGCGCCCTACACGCTTCATTCCATGGCAATCCCTCCAAGCTATCCACCATGCTTGCACAACAATGTCTAATTCATAAAAGCCAAAAGCATCCATTTAAAATTGATGAACAATCTGTCCTGCAACAACCAGTGATTTCTGTAACTGTGGGGCAGTGGAGACATGGTGTAATAAAAAGGAAAACATTGCCTCCCTTCAATTAAGAAGAAAAGATACACAGACGAATACATGCATGATGGGATTTTTTTTTCAGATATACACTTTTAAAGTATGCATGATGGGATTTTTTTTCAGATATACACTTTTAAAGTAGATCTTTGAAGTATACACAATCCTGGAAACCAGAAAATGAAGAAAAAGGTAAAAGGTTGTCGCAGTGACTGTAAAACTGTAAAAAGTAGTAGGCAATATAAGATGCAACCCCTCTATAAAACATTTTTCTTTTTTATGTTTAAATTTTATTTTATTTATTTGTTTGTTTTTCGTTATAATATTCTTTTATTTAAAATGTAAATAAAAAAGTAGCTTTTAAACCAGAGCCGTTTCAATCTCAAATGTTTATTTACTATGCCATCTTGCGGATGAATGGCAACCTGCTAGCAGCAGCGGAGATAGTGACATTTTAATGTGGTGCCAAGAATCTCGAGCTACGTTACATATGACGAAACATTTTTCTTTTAAACTATTGGTTGACTGTGTCGCTTTGGCCAATCAGCTCATAGAATGTAGGCGGTGCCCCAACGCCGACAACAGGAAGTTAAGACAACAGTAACGACTTGTTTGGAAACTTTTACGTCCAAAGGCAGGTTATACTCGCATTTTAAAAATAAAATTCTAATGAAACACTTAGGTTACAAGTGGATTCTACCACACTGCATATGGTTTGGAGCAATATGACGATGCAAGCTGTTTCCAACATCACCCGTGTTTGTTTACATGGTGAAGCAGGTGACGAGCTAACGTTAGCCACATAGCTCTTTAAAACCGAGTCATATGAGCAGCTGATTTATGGTCATGCATGAGAGTTAACTGCGTTCGACCGTGTAACTTACATAACAAGTGATAAACGGCTCTTTAATATTGAACTCCAGAGCAGGATAACAAGACAAAAACACGAGTCATGTGTTTGTTTGAGCGTTAACAGCGTATTCTAGGCGGGTTCACTTGTTTTTGTTCCTTGAGCTTCAGGCCAGATATACGGCCTCAACGTCGTCCTGATGTGCAACATACCTTGTTCTTGTGGGAACTGGAGAAGATGGATTCGACCGCTGGTCGTTGTCCTCTACATTCTCCTGTTGTTAGTCGTCCTGCCATTGTGCATCTGGGAACTGCAGAAGTCACAGGTTCGTCCCTGCACTGATTGAAGGAACGGCTGACGAATACAGTTGCTAAATAGATTTCTTGTTACTAAATTTCACTAAGATCAACAATTAACATTTGACTAAAATACTTTTAGAAGGGCAAATTATACAAACTGCGTCCATTCTGTCGTAGACTATTACTGTTTACTGTTTACATCTACTGTATATCACGTCCCTGCAGATGCAACCTAGGCCTACAATAATAGGTGGGCTAATCGACTTATCAGTTTGTTGCTGTTTTTTTTTATTTGTTTACTAATGGATTTGTATCTTTAACATAATGCCATCCATCTTTTCACATGTATATAAATTATTTTTTGGCTTTTGATGGTTGTAGTTTAAAAAAGTTATAACTAATTGCTTCCTGCGGTTTACAAAGGTAAATCTCAGTCCTTGATCATCTTTTTTTATTCAACCATATGGTTACAGATCTTTTTAAAATAATTAAATCTGACAAGGCAAGTTTTTTTCTTAGTCCTTTCACAGTTTCAGCTTTTCAAAAGTTTAGCTTTGTTTTTATTTTCACTCAGGATCAAAATCATTCTTGATGTGTCATTTATTGACTTGCCCTGCCTCATGTTAACCACTAACTTTACAATTAAACCCGGTGTTAACCCTCGTGATTTTTGTGACAACAGGTTGGAACACATAATAAAGCCTGGTTTATAGCTGGTATCTTCGTCTTCATGACAATACCCATATCATTATGGGGCATTCTTCAGCATCTAGTTCACTACACCCAGCCTGAGCTCCAGAAACCCATCATCAGGTAAAAATGCTGCAGAGCACGTCTGCTGTGAACAGTAGTCTGGTGTGTTTAAACTGGTGTTTAACGTCTCAGCTTCTCTTGGTGTCTTTTAGAATACTATGGATGGTTCCCATCTACAGCTTGGACAGTGTAAGTTGTATTTCACCATGACTTCAATATGTATTTTAAAATGTATGTTTTTTTTTATTTTATTGTAAAGACTGTTCCTTCTTTTCAGTGGATTGCCCTCAAATACCCTGGCATAGCAATTTATGTGGACACATGCAGAGAGTGCTACGAAGCCTTTGTCATCTACAACTTTATGACCTTTTTGCTTAATTACCTGGAGAATCAATATCCAAGCCTGGTGTTAATGATGGAGGTGCAGGAGCAACAACAACACCTGCCCCCGCTTTGCTGCTGCCCACCCTGGCCGATGGGAGAGTAAGTTCTGTCTTTTTAGTTATTAATTTTATTCAGTGAGATTTTTCTTTACCAAAACAGTTGATGTTTGATGTCCATAACAGGGCTCACCAAGTATATTTGTTGGGCCAGAACTTTTCAGTTTGTTTCATTTGTTTATTGTGGAATCTAGTCCCAGGCCGGATTGGATGGTGCGGTGGGCCAGATTTAGCATGCCCCTAAACTTTAACCTTTTTGCCTTTAATCTTCATTTCATCCTCAGGGTTTTACTGTTGAGATGTAAACTGGGAGTACTGCAGTACACTGTTGTGAGACCCGTGACAACTGTAATTGCCATGTAAGCTCGTTTTTACACAAAATCTTTCACTATATTTAATGTATGTTTACTTGTTGTTCTGACATGGTCGTCTCCTCTTCCTGTTGTCTACAGGATCTGTCAGCTGTGTAACGTGTACGATGAAGGAAATTTCAGTTCAACAAATGCATGGACCTACCTGGTTATCTTCAACAATATGTCACAGCTGGTAAAAACAAAACAATGTCTAAACTTTTCAATGGCCTCGAATGAGAATATTTGAAGTAACAAAATAGATCTAAACATTGAAGGAGGAATATTTTCACCATGTGTTTATTTCCCCGCTTGTCATGTAGTTTGCCATGTACTGCCTGGTGCTGTTCTACAGAGCGCTGAGGGAGGAACTGAGTCCAATTAAGCCAGTGGGAAAATTCCTTTGTGTTAAAATGGTGGTGTTTGTATCTTTCTGGTAAATCACGATGTCTTTCACATTTTTTTTTCTAATTAAAAACAGTTTCTCTCAAGTGCACACACGTGTTTCAAACTGATGTTTTGTTTGTATCTTGTTAAACTTTCAGGCAAGCTGTGTTCATTGCGTTGCTGGTGAAAGTGGGAGTCATTTCTGATAAACATACATGGGACTGGAAAACAGTGGAAGCTGTGGCCACTGGATTACAGGTATGCTGCAGGTTAGGCTGTTTATAAAGAAGAAAACGGATTTCAGTACAATCTCCCTCAAGGTTCAGCAAACCAAACAACTCTTGTCTCTTTTGAATTGCATTACTGCCACCTACTGGTTCTGATGTTACATTGAAAGGATTTCCAAACAAATAAAGCATTGAATTACCTTTCAAAAAAAGAAAGATGGCATTCCAAATTAAGGTGTTAATCACAGTAAGTTAGTGATATTAATCGGTTAAAATATTTTAATGCATGGACACAAGGTCATTTATCAATCAACCCACTCATATTTGCTCTCATACAAGGTTTAAGTTAGTAAAATTAATCGGTTTAAATATTTTAATGCATTGACATAAGGTCATTTATCTATCAATCCACTCATATTTGCTCTCATACAAGGTTAAGACACGTGTCTTAGACACGTGTAATTTGCACACACTGTGGGGACAAAACGTTTTTTTTTTTCACCAAAGCAACTCGAGCTTAAAATACCGTCTAACTGGAAAGCATGCATTTGTGTACTTGAGGTTTGTTTTACTGCCTGACGACTGTGGATGTTTCCTTCAGGATTTCATCATATGTGTGGAGATGTTCCTGGCAGCGATTGCTCATCACTTCAGTTTCACCTACAAGCCCTACATCCAGGAGGCAGAGGAGGGTTCCTGCTTTGACTCCTTTATGGCCATGTGGGACATCTCCGATGTCAGAGCGGACATTTCTGAACAAGTGCGCAATGTTGGTAGGTCGCCCCCTGCCTGCTGAAGTGATTTCACTTGTACAAGAAACGTAACAATTGTGTCTAAAACTGAGGACAACTTTGTCGTCAACATTAACAGGGAGAACAGTGATGGGCCGGCCTAGGAAGTCTTACTTTGGTGAGAACGATTGCGAGCGATCCGGATTGCTGTCGTCGGGTTCCCAGGATGCAATCGCCGAGGCAGGATCCAACTACCAGGGCCTGGGAAGAACCGTGACGCCGCACTCTTTGTCAGCACCTGCTGGGCTGGACTCGGCCCTGTGGGACGAAGGGTATGAGGCGAGACCAGAAGAAAGCCAGGAAGAAGAAGAAGAAGAGAGGCACGACCAACCCACGGAACCAGCTGATGCAGATCTAATAGTCATCAATTAGCCCCCCCACCCACCCACCCAGGCTGGTGTTGCCTAATGACTCTACTAGAACATGACTGGGCAGGATCCAAGCGTAGCCTTGCTGATTTGCTTGAAAAATAACATTACAATATACAGTACATATCTAGTGTTTAAAGGGTACATGCACAAAGTATTTGTAGATATTTGCCAGATGAACTTCTCTGCCAACGGAGTCTCCATGTTTTCTCACTGACATGTAGATACCAGTCCATCGATCCAGTTTACACATTCACAGCATATTGCCCAGCAGGCTGCATCAGAACTTTTATTTTATCAGTTTCATACTGTAGGTGGGACAAACTTTGGGACCAGATTTAACAGGTCTGTTGTTGTGTAGACAGGTGAGAGTTCACCCAGAAAAACTGAAACTACTTCTTCATGTACATGACATTCTATACGCATCTTTTAAGTCACAATGTGTTGCTTTTTATCATTTCTAATGCATTTTAGACCTAGCCGTGTCATATGTTGTTTTATAAGCTGAAGACGCAGACGTACAACAAACGCAGAAGACCAAAGGAGACGGAGTGAATGAGTGGACAGGCGTTTTCATACATCACTCAGAAACTGCTCTTTTTCCTTTAGTGGAAATTCATGGATTCTTCTATAACATCGAGACACTTTTATTTTCATTTTTATGCTAATCCTCTGTGGGAGTCTGTGTTGGAACTGAGGAAAGAAAAAGAGCAGACTCAGTGAGATGAACCGTGAGGAAGAGTTGCAGTGCACAGCAGAAATGAGTACACACCAAAACAAATAAAGTACTGTGTTGTTGTTCTTGTTGAGTAAACACGAGAGGAAGTGGAGAAACTGGAAAAATTATTTAATTTATAACACTGACACCTGATATTCTCCCAGAAAAATAAAAAAATACAGGGATTTTGTTTTTCTTCTCCCACTGTGGCACAAATAATCCCTTGTCCCCAAAGGGGGCCCACACCTCACTTTGGGAACCACTGTTTTATACTGACATGCAAAACAGCCAAAACAATATTCTGCAAAAAAAAACTGTCATCTTGCATCTCCTTCGACAATTATAAACTCATCTTGCATCTCCTTCGACAATTATAGCTGCTGTTGGTAAAATGTGGTTGAATTTTATTTGTTTTTATATGTTATTGGAGTGTACTCATTTTCGGAGCATAAGTTTGAATCATTTGTGATTCTGACTGTGGAGTGTACTCATTTTCGGAGCACAAGTTTGAATCATTTGTGATTCTGACTGGTGCAAATATTTCTGCAAATGGTGCAAATATATAATTATTTTCTGGAAAAAACTGACAGATTACTCGTACTGTGCACTGTAACAGTTTTAGTCACAAGGAGAAGGTTAAAGGTCAGCGGTAAATGATTGGTCCAAATTCTGTTGTCAGTCTGGGTTCATGAGCGTTTTTTTTTGTTTTGTTTTCATTTTGTACACGACAAAAGACTAAAACTGTACAATCAGTGAATAGAAGCAGTTACACACTCATCCTCACAGTGTGCCATGGAATTAAACTACACACCACTGCTTAAGCTTTGAGATGTGACATGTTCTACAACACGTTAGAGCCATTACTGGATGAACTTTGAACCTAAACCTTCTCAGTGTATTTGCCTGCTTATGTTGGATGTTGTTGGGACATATTTGAGGTCGAGGAGTTGTTTAAGTCATTTTTATAATAATAATAAGAAAAAGGTTTAAATAAGTGGTTCTCAAACCTTAGTAGATCGGTCTGTTGTCATTGAACGCACATTTACATTGATGTCTTTAGCAGACGTCAATCCTAAAAATGGACATTCCCACTGAAAATGGAAAAAATCAAATACAAATTAGTGTATTTTTGCCACTGGCCATTAACTGATTTGACCTTCTGCCCCCACCTGCAATAACTTTGAATCCCCCAGGTGGGCCCCACCCCGCACTTTGTGAACCACTGATCTAAACAACGTAAACATGTTCCTCCACAGATCTAATAGAGTCTCTCTTTCACAGTCTCGTCAATAAATCTGATCAACAACCCCCCAGCCTCGCTCTGTTTCTCACTTTTATTAAAGAAACGTCACATTCGTTGTCCAAACTTAGACATGGTTAACGGTTAAAATCATTCTCTGACGGTGATGAACCAGCTTTATAGTGAAAACAGGTTTTTAAATTATTATTATTATTATCTAGGTATTATGTGTTAGGATCGGGGGAAGTAAGAACTTGTGCTGATATGGAGATGGTGCTTTTTTGGAGCTTCACAGAGAGAAGGATCCAGTCTCCAGCCAGGACTTTGAGGGGCTGCTGCAGCACAGCAGCTGCCTGCCTCCAGTGGGAGTTCTGGCTGAAGGTGCTGACGCTGATCTCCTGGTCCAGGTAGATGTGGTACCAGAAGGGAATGGCAGTTATTCTGCCTGCAGCTGTGGTCTGGACCTAGGAATTAAAACATGGCACCTGAGGAAGACCACTCTGATACTTGGACTCCACCCCAATACTGCTAAATATTTATTAAATGTAGCAGGTAAATAAATTAAATCCCAATACTGCTGAAATACTAAATATTCATTAAATGTAGCAGGTAAATAAATTAAATTATTAGGATGGGTTCATTTTCTAGTTGTAAATTTTAACCTTTTTGTTGATTTCTGTTGCATTTAACAACCTAGAATAGCTTGGTTTATTCACTTTACCCTTTGCTGGGATACATTTAAATATATAATATAATACAGGAGTGTAATTCACTAAAATATCAAATTTAAAAGATATGATCCACCAGGAAATATACAGAGAGAATTATCACATCAGACCAAGCCTCTGATATTCAGAGACAAGTTATTTTATAGTACACCAAACTGTTTCTTACCTTGATCTCTCTGTTGCTGTAGTTTGCAGTGACATCCATGAGGTTTAATACAAAGAGCTCCACAGACTCGCTCAGATGTCGACACTGCAGTGTGGAAAAGTCCAGAAACACGTGGACTGGAACCTAAAGAAAATGTGACGTGGACAACATTAGTGTAGATCTAAACTTCAGAGAAAAAAAACAACAACATAAATTTGTAGTTTATGAGATTTACATCACGGTTGTAATGGTGAGGGTCAGTGTTTTAAAACCCAAGCTCTAAAACTTTAAACCCACTAACTCAACTCTAAAACCTCAAATGCTGCAGCAGTGAAACGTGTCGCCGTCTCCTTTCCTGCAAAACAAAAGTCCCGTCGCTGCTCCGTGTCTTTTTGATGTTCTTGATGTAATGTGCACTGATGGATTCAGGTAGGATTGTCCCAGGCCAAGCTGTGTGTTGTTGACGCTTACGTAATGTCACTCAAAGACAACATCTGGTAAAATAAACCCCGCCATCCCGTGAGGAAGAGATCATGCAAAAAACTACACTGCTAACATGATACAACAAAAACAACAGATAAATAACCACCAGACCAAATAAAAAAGAAGAATCCTTTGGGATTCTGCAGCTTCTTCAAAGTATCGGAGAAAAAAAAAAAAGACATCAAAGCAGAGCAAACGCAGTCCTGGACCTTGTTATTCTTGCTGAAACACCTGAACGTTACACAGAAAAAAACACTTCTGGCTACGCCTGAGTAAACTTTCATTAGAGATTTGAGGTAAATCTTTATTGTGTCTGGTGTCAAACTTTGTGTCAATCACACTTAACCGACACCGGGGGCAGCGTATTTGCACCTAAAGAGAGAAATGTGCGAGTTGAATGACGCAAAGCTTACAAACGCTGCATACTGCATGTGATGAGTCTGAGTGTTGACGGTTGCATCAGGAACACAAGACTGAAGGTTGCATCAGCAACATGAGATAGAATAAAGGAGACCAGAGGCGAACAATAGAAGGAAGAGTCGTTATGAAGTCTGAGAAGGATTCAGATCAACTATTTACTTCAAAAGTTGACTCCAGAAGTCATTTCAGCTGGATTAGAAGACGGTCTAATTTGAAGTCAGTAGTTATTAGGAGATTTAACTCGGAGATGCAGTTGATTTGGTGAATATAGAGCAGGGTTTCCACTACGATCATGAAGCAGCAGCAAACTATCATTACTTCTTTATTGCTTCAAACTAAAAACATACCTGCCCTTTTGGGGTAAAAATGGAAATGGACATTTTTTGTGACTGTGATTTTTTTTGGACCTGAAATACATAGGCCACATGTCATCAGTGCTGCAGCGTTTTGATCCGGTATAAGAAATTCACTCACTGATGCAGCTTTGAATTTTGCAGACAAACTTACAGTGAACTGGTTGATGAACGGAGCGATATTAAAGCCCAGCGTCGGCTCCGGACCCTGGACGGCGCTTTCCAGCAGTAGTGTGTCCGACTCCACCAGCATTCCATGCACCACAATGCGCTCTGGGAAAATGCGTCCTCCCTCCTCCAGGAGACACCTGGAAGAGCAACAGTGTTTGTTACAGTAAGTTTTTTAATTAAGTTGTACTACGAACTACAACTGGTTATGAAAGAATCAAACGTCACCCTGTACCTGGCCAGTGAGGCTTTCTCCATCAGCTTCTGCCTGATCAGACCACTGGTCTCGACACAGTCCAGCATGATGGCGCTCCAGAGTTTCTCCCCTGAAGGCCTCTTCAGCATGCCCTGCTCGTCCTCCATGTGGTTGAGCCAGAACTCCAGATGATTTTCTGAGATGTTACTGGACCGAGCCAGTCTCTTCAGAACTTCCTGCTGCTTGTGCTTTTCCACAGAGCTGAAGGCCTTCACGTGACCGTGACTGGCAGCGATAAGCGAGAGCAGAGAGAAGCCCTCGGACACGTCGAGCACGTACATTAGGTCTCTACAGTCTGAGGAGTTAGCACGGTCACCGAGGTTTGACCCAACGCTGGATTCCTGCTTAGCGTCTCTTCCCGTCACCTTCAGCTGGGAGATGAGTTTTCCTAACGCAATGTTAAATTTCTGATGGTAATCCCAGTTGTTCAGTAGAGCCATCTCTGAACACTCCAGAACGCAGAAGTGTTTAGTTTGATTCTGGTCAGTCTGCAGACATGCCAACGCGCTGCACAGTTCAGCCTCAGGGTTTGGGACCGAAACCGGTTTTCCTGAATGACCCGGGTCGTGCTGCCTGTCCAGACGGATTTCTCGGCCGTCTCTCAGCACAGCGACACTGCAGAGCCTCAGGTAGGCGTCTCCACACGTGATCTCAACGATCAGCATATCGCCAGGCTTCAGTAGAAAAGCTGCAGAGACACAAAGGAAACCGGTGAGTTACATGATTACAATCAAACAATAAATTGTAAATAACATTTTTTTTCAGTATCAATCTGAAGCAAAACAGTTGTCAAAATGAGAAGAAGGCCAACAGAGGAATACCACTCAGAGGTGAGAGGGGGAGAGGAGTGAAAAAGGATTCCTACAGGAATAACATCTGTTCCTGTCAGTGCACAGCTCGTCTCAGCCTTTTGGGAAAATGCATATTTATTTCCTATAAGAATTTCATGAGCACTAAAGAGTGTCACAGGTGATCACAGCAGCCAGGAAAGGGATGTTGATGTTCATCAGGAAAGGAAGCGACTCTCTCACTGCTGCTGAAGTCAATTACCAAAGAAGTGAAAAGCTTTGAATTCTATCTGGACAACCGTGTTCTTTGATGGTAATTTTAATATACATTCATGAGGGTGAATTATTAAACTTTTTTTTAAATTTTGAATTATTGTCAAAAATTTAATTGTAATTGGTATACTGTATATAATGTAGAAACTTGCTATAACCGATTAGAGAAAGAAGACACCTTGGATTTTAGCCTAAAACACACTGCCCTCATCTGATGAAACAAGGAAGTGCAGGACAAAAGAAAATACATAAAATATAGATTGAAACTCAGATTGAAAACTAAAAGTACAAGTGATGTTCACTGAAAATGAAATTCAATAAAGTTTTTCGGTCTCTCACCCTGGGCACTGTGGACAGGGTAGATGGCCTGCTCCCAGCAGGTGTCCTCCTGGGGTCCAGTGGACAGACTGCTCTGCTCATCCAGGTGGAGCTGGAACCAGACAGCCAGAGCGTCCAGCTCCCCTTGTTGAACCACAGGCAGACAGACCTGCTGGACCTCCCTGGAGCTCAGACCCTCCAGTTCCTACATGTTTTAAACACAGTCTTGGTATAACAGCAGAACAATGAACCATACATATCTATTAAATAAAAATATTAAATACAAGTTTCAATAAAGTTTAATTTAATCTAATCTAAACCTGAACTATTTTAACTACAGTTTATTAATAAAACATGGTCTAATATTACAATATTTGCATTTTAATGGAAATAATAAATATACTTTTTACTTTACTTTGATACTACATTTAATACTTTTGGTTATGGCTAAAACTAAAACATCTGACAAATAGTACACATTTGTCTTCACGGTGATTGGTGGACCGATCATTTCTCCCTAATGACAAATGAGTAATTATCCCAAATGGTGTGTCTTCTCACCTGAACATTATTAAAATCTATTTGGAGAGCAGTGAAGGGCTCTGTGAGAGATTTATATCCTCCAGGGATTCTGCTGAGTCTCTCGGTGGTGTACGGTTCCATGGAGTCGTCGGGCTGTGCGCTGCAGCTCACCGGACTACGAAGCTCACCAGCCGTGGCCATAGACAGACCTCCCACTTTTGACACACACAACCTGATCAGAAAAAAAAATTAGTTGTTAGGCTTTTGTTGTTTAGAACAAAAACCTAAACTTTTATTTGTAAGACCGTTGACAGCTGGCGCGGCCCACCTGTGATGCCGACGGATCTCTGCAGACTCAACGGCCATTCCAAACACAGTGGCTCCAGCAGGGATGACACGTCCTGTTACAGACTGGGCCATCAGTTCATTCTCACCTGTCTTAGTGAGAAATGTTTATTTGTTTATATTGCACAACAACATCTACATACTAGAAATAAAACATTTATACTTTTGCATTTATATTAAGTTTAAATGCAAATGTTTAAATTCCAAAAAACAGATACTCTTTTCCCACTGTGACCTTAATAAAAAAAAAATTAGAAATACATATTTTTTCCCACTGTGACCTTAATAAAATTAAAATGCAATTAATTTAACCTCCTGCATTGACCCTGCAATAACTCTGGGCCCACCCAAGGGGGAGCCCACCCTCTACTTTGGAAACCACTGTGTTAATGTGTTTTCCCGTAAGTTAAATGACCAAACATGGTCTTTAAAACATCAGGATACATATTACAACATTGTAAGCAACAGACTTCTCAGACTCTGTATCACCGGCTCACTAATGAAGACATATTTCTGTTTCTAGCCCTGAGTTTCTGTTTGATAATTACCTGCGGAGGCAGCAGGAGGTGGCGCCAGGCGTGAATGAGACTTTCGATGATGCCCTCTCCAAACAATCCTGCATCTACCGTCTCTGTCACCACCAGGGATACCCTGTGAAGCAAAGACATCGGCGGGAAATTAGAATAAAATCTTTGATTCTTTAAAATTCTTTGATTCCAGGTTAATAAAGAAAAGTGCTGTGAGTTTTACTTTTGTGGAATGTCCCTGGGAACTTCCATGTCCAGCGACTTCATATGGAGGATCTTGATGCTGCCACCCATTCCATTTGCAGTCACAACGTCACAGGCCAGCTCGTACATGGTTTTCGACAACTCACAGGCATAAACCTCAGCAGCCCCTGCCTTCTTAGCACACATGCTTCACAGAGAGAAAAAGAAAAAGAAAACCAGAACATTTTAAAAATAAAATAAAGTTCCCATTTTATGATGAGCCATAAATGTTAAGCAATGACGTAAACTACCACCTGATTCAAAATGAGAGTTTGAAGCAAAGGACAACTTAACAAAAAGGTATCATGGAAACGTTCTCACCCAAGGATGCCAGTGCCAGTACCTATGTCAAGTACAGTGTTGCAGCCACTGTGAACAGCCTTCTGAATGGCTTGCTGGTACTTCTGGTTCCTGCCGTGATCATTTAGCATTAGAAAATGCCAGCGTTCCACCAACCAATTGGCTACGGAGTAGAAGTTCTCCCTGGCTTCTGAGTAGTCCGGTCGCAGCTTCAAGGCTTTGTGGAAGTGACCTGCAGCTTCATCACGAAATCCCATCCTAGATGATACAAAGGATATTATCAAAATACTGTAGTATTTATGTCTCAGAAGATTCTAATTCACAAATGGTAAAATCAAATAGCAGCTGGAATTCTGAATTCTGGATTATATATGTGATCAGTGATTTGGGATTTTGGAATTGGGATACATATTTCTTTTTCAATTTTGGCTGGTTAGGAGCGAGTGATGCATTACCTGAATAAGTGTTCACCCATGCTGTTCAGAATGACCTCATCAGATGGGAAAAGTTCCAGTGCCTGCTCATAACAGTCAAAAAGTTCCCGGATTCGACCCACGGAATCCAGCTCCTCTGCCCATTTGAAGAGAGTGAATCTGAAGGACTCCTAAAAAAAATCATGTCAAAACGTTTTGTATTAACAGTACAGATAGAAATTGTAATTTCCACTGCACTACATGAGAAATTCTCTACCCAGCCTTCACAGTGAATTGGATCTACGACTCTCAATTACAGTGATTATCCAAAGCAAAATAGTGGGCAGTAACCATAAGCCAGGTGGGTTACAGCAAACAGTTATTACCTTGGCAAAGTCTTTAAACATAGGTGCCAGGTGAAGGACCAAAAGGTAGTGTGCATATGCGGTGCCATAATCCTGGTTAAACAGGCACTGCTGTGCACTTTCTAGTGAACTTGAGACCAGTTCATTTCTGGCCGGGTCCTCTCTGCATCGCCTCCTCCTAGTCCGGCTGTGCTTTGGCTTTGCACTGGCATTAGGCATCCCTTTGACGGAAATCAAAAATTCAAATTCAGGAATAAAACAGACAGTCTCTCCAATATTAGCTGTGTGATATTATGTGACTATTAGTGATTTCAAGCCTTTATTTATGTTATTAACTTGTAGCAGGATTATTATTGATACAAAAGCAAAAATATCAGAAATGGAAAGAAATACCTCGTACATAAATATCAAAAGTGAACGTTGACTTACTCTGTATTTAAGGAAATTAGAAGGGGTTAGAAACAGGGTACATCAACGCTGTTATACAGTCCGGTTTCATTTAAAGCGAGCTACAGACGTGATCCAATCTTCCATAGCATCGATTTAACTAAATAAAACCGCTCGAAAAGTCACTACTAAAACCTAACGACATGGCGACAAATTACACTTAGCCTTTTACAATTAAAGCATACTTGAAGAACGCGAACCCAATCTGTACATCACATTTCTATTTTTTTTTTTTTAAACTGCATTGTCTTCCGTTCAGTAAATTGTCCGACTACAAAATCACTCCGACTCTAAACGTGCAACGTTAAAATTGTTCCGTGGGCGTAACTTTTCAATCGACTAGAAAACAACTATATATAACAACATATATATATATACAACGTAGAAATGTATCAAAGAAATTGTTTAAAATGTGGCAGTGCACTACAACTGTGAACCACAATTATAAAGACTGTCCAAAGCTCCAACTACAAGCATTTTTGAAGCCAAACAATCTAAATCCCTGCTATAGCTCAGTGCTAGTGTAAATATTCGTTTTCAAGTGAATAGATAAAAAAGCGACTAGTGTTGCCCTGTCTACAATATGTAATATTTTGTAGTTTTGACAAATATATGAGAACGTGCCTAAGTAGGAACAAATGCAGGATTCTATTAGTAGCAGCTCCAGTAACACCTTGTTTAGATTCTGAATTATCGACAGAAAAAATGTCAATTTCCAAAATATTTGCATTTAAAATAAATAAAATAATATCTTAAACAGAAAGTTTTTATATTGAACAACACATACATTTCTTTTTTTAAGTAATCACCATTTAACTGTTTAAGATGCCAGGAAAATAGAGATTAAAATATAAAAACACCTGGGGGCAGAGGGGTGGCTAGCGCAAGAAAGTAAACGAAGGGCGACTCGGTTTTCATCGCAGTACGTGAACCATCTTGCTCTGAGCGTTACTCTTCGGCATAAGTTTTGCAGCAAGCACACAGATGTCAGCAGAGTTTCTCAATCTGTCACTCTGTGAGCTCCCTTCTACGTTTGATGGATGGCAGACGGAATTGGACACAGACAACATGATTCCCTGACAAGTCTCGTGGAACGGCATTCGTTGAATACTTTCATCAGTAACGGCACATTGAAAAAAAACTTTGAGAGCATTTTACCTGTTGGCTTGTCGCGACTTTTTTTGACAACTCTGGAACAACACCCACTGCAGATGAAGTCACCATGCTAACCGCGGTTAGCTGCTGCTACTGTGTTCCCTCAGTTTTTTCTGCTTGATTTTAAAACGGCTGGAGACGCACGCGGTTGTTACATTTTAAGGGTTATTATTTTAGTGAAGAGCAAGCGGAAGTTTTTAATAGTTTTTTCCTCCAGAGCTTTAGGAAAATTTGTCAGGAAAAATGGGACTACACCCGCTGGAGTTCAGTGAATGCTATCTGGACAGCCCTCAGTTCAGGGACAAAATTAAGGCGCACGAAGCGGAGCTGGACAAAACCAACAGATTTATCAAAGAGCTTTACAAAGATGGCAAGAATCTCATCAATGCAACAAAGCGTAAGTCTATCTTATTTGTTTTAATGTGTGTTTTCTGTGCATATCTTGACTTGCACTTGCCATTTGAGTCTTCTAGTTCCACGTCTCTGATTTATAAATGCCAAACAAAAAACAAAAAAAAAAAGACCAAGCAGATTATTATCATGTGATAATATCATGACTTTCTACTTTGGTATGGCTGCGTTGATGAGGACAGTCGGTCAGGGCTTGGCACAGTTAGCCCGCAATCCCAGGTTTCCCAGATGATCACATTCTTATCACGTTGAACTATACTCCTGTGGGCTGGGCCTGTTTGAAAGGTGCTTACTAGTTATAACGCCTCAGTCTTAAGCACACTTGCCTGTAGGAACAAGTAAAGCTTTAACACGTGCCGTTTGAAACCCCCCCCCCCCCGAGGAAACCCCTAGAACTCGGGATAATAATACTGAAAGTGGCAAATGGCCACAAGTTTTGGTGCTGAGTAAAATGTTTATGTTATTAAATAGTTTGAATGCTGATTTCATGAGAACTTTAGGGCTGCTTGATGCTATGCACTGTTACTTCACTTGTTTTTCTACTTTGCACCCCCTCATGTGTTTACTTTCACAGTCAGCCAAAACGAGCCCAGGGTCATCTTTAGTTTACCCATTGTTACAATGCAAATTCAGGTTCAGGGGCAAAAAAGCCCCTAATCGAAAGACTTTGATTATCTGTCTGTCACGGTGTCAGACAGTTTTTGTGACAGTTCAAGTATTGGAATCATTATTCTCTTTTATTTTCACAACCCAAAGATCAAGGTCATTATGTAGCGGTGGGATAATTTAGGAAACTTCTATATGATCTTCTGTAGGTTTCCCATGCCTCTCCAAGGCCAGGCTAAATCGGCTCTTCTTAGATAGATGGAGAGATGGATGGATGAATACTTTATTGATCCCAAAGGTAAATTAATGTTGGCTGAATGAGGTCCTGAGGGGTGTGTAAGTCACTCAAGCACTGACATTGTCACGTCATGTGTTTTCATCCACAATTTATTTGGTAGTAGCAGCTGTTGTGGGTCAGAGATTGATCTGTTTCAAGTGCATTCAGTTTTTTGCCTAACACCTATACTGTACTGAAGTCAAGAATTATTGATGTATTTTGTACAAGCCTTAAAATGCTGAACTTGATTTTTAAAAAATTCTGCTTAAGAGTAGTTTTTTTGTCGGTACTCAACATTCTTTACACTTATTATCACCGTTCTGAGGTATTCTACATTCTTGGATAATAGCCCTTCGTTCAAGATGGTTTTTGGATCAAAATAAGTATTAATTACTATCAAAGTAAATATTGGTGTGCATATCCCCAAATGTATCATGTGCAGTGATTCCTGATCAATTTCTGTAAGTATAAACGAGTATGAACATATTGCCTGGAATGGCAGGATTTATTAGGATTAGGATTCACCCTGAAGCCCTGAGCTGCATGTAGTTCTTACTTCACAGTCCTGCCAAGCTTGTGTTTGTACTGAACTACTATATGTATATTTGGAGTATGTTTTGGTGTATGTTGTACATATGCTATAGAAGTCGGTTCCATAGTGTAACACAAGAATTTCCCTATTATGGGATCAATATAGTTACATTTCTTTTTAGTAATACTTACTAAAACAGACATACTTATAATAATAGAGAAAATAACTTGTTTGCCATCGATGGTCAGTTTCTGCAGTCATGTAGAAGTACCTCAGTCTTACAAGTATCTTGGATTTCATCAAGCATCCGGTGCATTGCTTGCTGTTGACCTATTATGAAATTAGAATCGATTCTGTGTATGTGTTAGTAGTTGTCACTCATTGTGTTGTTGCGAAACTAGCAATTTGTGTGTTTTAATCTCACATTCACACCAAATTACCTTTTTTGGGGTGGTCATTACTAACATGCAGCGGCCTGGAATTTATCAAACCATGACCTCACTCTTTTAAATACTACAGTATATAGAGCAGCAAATCAGTTGCTAACATTTACAGAAGGTGTTTACATAATTAATTTTATATTTTTAATTTAGTTTTGTCCTAACAGGTCTGAGCAGTTATCTAAAGGTTTTTTTTTTGTTTTTTGTTTTGTAAAGCATTGTAAAATTGACAGAGTTAGAAGTGTCGATTGTAATTAAGAAAGGACTCCCCTGCTCATCTCTCATTCTGTAAGTGTGGCAATGGCTACGGTGGCCGTTCCATCCTGGAAAATGATTTTCTTTTCATTTGTGTGCAATACATCTTGAAAAATATCTGCTAGTAAACCTTATGTACATGTTACACATAGTTCAGATGATGTTCGTCATCGTTTCTGGTGATGTGTTCTGATGTGAGGTCAGTTTTCGGTCTCAAAGTCCCTGTTGCTTTTCAGTCTTTCAGTAACTGTCCACTCCTACTACAGAAAGGATGTCCCTTCACGGAAAGTCCTTGGTTCTGAGAGGAAACGTTGTACCAGAGTGCCATGACATGGAAGTGCTCACTTGAGCAGCAACATGCAGATGTGCTTCTGTCGTAGTGTTTTCTTCCACAGGAACTGTGTCCTGTCTGTACCCTCTGTCAGGCAGCACCAGTCGTTTTTTTTTATTCCTAGCAAATGTAATCTTTTTTGTTTAATCCAGAAAAAAAGACTGTAGTCATCTATTTATTGCTCTAAAGACTTTTTTATCCTTTTTTGCATTCATAATACCCCATAATCTTGCTAACCACTACATTGGACGCATACCCGTTCATTTTCAGAAGGGGAAACATAACAAAACCTGACATTATGACTTCTTCACTCCCTCTGTTTCAGTCAACGAGAAGAAAAGAAAAATGGAAGGAAATAAAAAAAAAAGAAGTAAGAAATGCATCCAAAAAAATGGAAGGAAATAAAAAAAAGAAGTAAGAAATGCATCCAAATGAAAATTCAAAGACTTTTGTATAATTGCTTGTATCGTAACAGAACAAGTCTTACACCAAGTCTTACATCTGCTTAACCTTGATAAGCGTTTGAGGAGTCGGTGATATTTTATTGGTTCATGAAGAGCAGGACTACAAAGGACCCTGTCAGTGTCTGTGAGTCCAGGGGTTGACATGCTTGTTTGTTTTTGCTTCCAAAAAAGTGAAGTCAGTCTGGAGTCACACTGCTATTAATCACAGTCACGCTCACAGCTGTATTTCCCCTAAAATGATGGATTGGCTAACAAGAGGATCGTGTTTTTCCTCACTTTCAGTTCCACTGACCAAGTGTCGGTCTCTTTGTCATTGACAGATAGGTTCAGGAGGAGGCTCTCATGGTGTGCTTTGGCTCACTGCCGCCGTCTGTAATCACAATTTCATTAAAATCGCATTAGCACAAGACATAAAGTCATGTAGATGAACACGTTTGTCTTACACCACAAAGAATAAAGCTCCTGTTTGATACATGATCAAACTTTTTTGGTCCGAATTAAAACATCTGCATGAAAATCATGAATTAAGTGGGCATTTGTGGGTGAGGGGCTGGGGGTAGAAGTTTAAGGAGGGCTTGGTCCTGCGGGCTGTGTTGAGGGGAAAGGTGGAAGTGGTGTGAGAAGCAGAGATTCAGACTGGAAAAGATAGGAGAGTGGAACAGGAAGGGCTGTGGAAAGGCGAGTCGTGTAAACCCAGGCTGGCCTTTGAGGGCCAAGTTCTGACCTGAGTGGCACATTTGACGAGAGTGTAGAAATCATAACAAACAGCACTGCAACTGCTGCCAATGAATACTCTATGGACATCTTCAGCTGCAAAACGTTCACACACCATTCCTGGCTATGTTACTGGGAAAACACTTAGGCAATGTGATGGTTCACACCAAGCATGCAAAATAAGGTATGGTAGCCTTCACTAATCCCTGCAACAGAATTAAACATGGTAACATTACATCACATGGTGATACAACGTGGCAGCCTCCAAAGAGAAGACTCTGCTGTTATAAATAAAAATGACTTACTATGGGGAGGTGTGAACAACAATCTATTCTCCGATACCAAGAATTACTCAAAGTAAAGATTTATATGAACTGTTCCGAACTATTGAAATTACTGCAGACAGAGTGTTAAGCACTTCCTCTGTCCGTTTCTTTATTCTTAGTTGGAGCTAAATTAAGTATGGACCGAGCTGGATCTGCCAAAAGTCTAGTGGCGACCAACTTTTAATTCTTTCCTAGATTCTGTTATTCTAGGTACTAAGGAGTGGTAATATTTTTTTTCTGTGTTTGTTTAGGTTGGAGAATATGCAGGGTCCTACAGCCCGTGGCCGGCCCCGTGCCTTCCTCCTTTTGTTCTTTTTTTTGCCAGCCTTCGATTCTGTTTTGATTAGTTAACAAGATTAGTAACAAAACCCTGGACGCTAGCATGCATCGACACTGAAAGTCCCCCCTTCAATCTCCCTTACAGTATATACCAAAATAGAATTTTTAGTCCACAGTGAGATGTGTGACATCCATTGCAAACCACAATAGAGTTTGTCACCCACTGGCATTTATAGACCTATGTTAAAGTTACCAACGTCTTTTAATGTAACATTTCTGTGGTTTCTTGACTCCCGTCTGACAGTAAACTGGATATTTTTGGTTTGTCAAGAAATACTTAACATTCGAGGACACTGTTATTTTGGGGGATACTTGCCTCAGTAACACATCTACATTTTTTGTTGCCCTAATAAATAATCAAACTGACTTAATTTTCCTTTTTTTCTTGCCCTGGCCATTGGCATGATGTTGGACAGAGCAGAGACATCAGCAGTCTGCATGAGTATATTAACCAAGCCATCAAATTCTGAATCACATAAAAAAAAGTAGATTCAAGATTTTTTTTTTTAATGTTCACATTTTTGGAAGTTTTCCAATGTGAATACAGAGGCTTAAATCACAGGAGAGGTTAATGTGTTGTTCCACAAATAAAGGAAGGCAGCTTAAATAACTGAATCTAACTTTGACATGTATTGAAACTACTTTTGTTTGTTGTGGTGTTTTACCACAACGTCCTGCTCTACTGTTGTTTTTTGTGGTGTTTTACCACAACGTCCTGCTAAAAAAACATGTGTACATTATTAACAACATATCTGTTTTGATCTGTGGAACAGCACAGTTACTACTGCCGGAATATTCCATTACTTTCCCTTTGTGTCGTTTTGTTTTTCTTCCCACACCTCAGAACAGTGGTAATGTTACTTTCCTTTCCATTGCTTTCGACCTCCTGTATCAGATAAATGAAAGGTGGGGTCTGTGTGTACACTCTAGACTAGGGTCTCTGGTTTTCTGCGCAGAAACTGGCCAGGTTTGACATTTCCCAGGTTTACTCCGAAATGCCTTTCTTTAAAAGGCAAAAAGCAGAACAAGCCCCTGCCCCGGAGTCTTACGTGCACTAGTGTGTTGTCTTTTTTCAAACCAACGACTGTTCTTTCCTTTTTGACAAGAGCTTAGCTTCAGCCTTCTATGCAAACCCCTCATCTGCCACTCGTGTTTATTCCTTCACTGATTGTATCCAGGTGATCTGTGCCGCCAAGACCAAATCAAACGGCACAGGAACACAAACGCAGCTGTTCCTTTTTTCTTTTTCTTTTTTTCAAGGTTGTCTGGGTCTAATTAATGCAACAGTAACGGGATAACATCCATTCTTCATGTTTTGTGTAATGAAGTCCTCACATCCTGGCCTCATATATTCTCATATTATCTGTCCACCCCGCAGTCAGTTTAACATGCAAGCAGCCCTTTTTAATCAGGTTATGGTCGGGTGTGATTCTGCACCATGATCACATGTGGTTCTAATAAAGAGCCTGCAAATCTATCTGTTGACATCACTGTGCAGAGGCATACACACTGATGTTCTGTGTTCTGGGCCCAATGTGGACAATTAGAAAACACATTTTGTGTACTTGTACTCAGTTCTGGAAATATCTTCGATTTGACTTGGTTTTTGTTGCTTTCTGTGGTCGAATCGATAAAACGGTGACACGGGACTTCACCCTGCAGTGTTGTTGTGTCTGTTGAGGTGTAGTGTGGTCAACACTTCTATACTTACTGTAGGATTGTTTACAGTATTTTGTAACGCAAACATGCGGTGGATATTTTTTTTTTTTAAAAACCTAGGGTTCTGATATGTCAATACAATCAAATAAAAGTTGAACAGACTCTTCTCCTCCACTTTCTCCGCCAGATCTTTTCTTAGATAACCTAGTAATTTTCAGTTGTTTTTGCTTTAAACACTCTTCTGTAGTTTAACAGGTTTCCATGCAGGTCACATTGTTGCCATGCTCAACAGTGCCAGTAACCAATAACAAAAAGCTTTAAAAAGGAGAAAAACAAGTTAAAAAAAAAAAACTAGGTCATTTGCAACAACAACATAAAGGTCTTGCTTTTACTTTAATGAACCTTTGAACTAAACTAAAACTTATGTTTACCTATAAACCTATGTTTATGATGTGATCCATCATTTCAGTTTTGAAAATTATAGCATTGAGTACCATTTTTTTCTTGACCTTGAATATCCAGAAATATCAGATTGGTTTAGACTCACTGTAGATTTACAGCCACTTTAAAGGTATTTATTGTTGTTTGTAACCACAGTAATGGTTGTTTACATCACATTAGTTATATTAATGTCAGATTGTATTTAGAAATCCAAGTCGGCCTAAGTATGTAAGTCTTTGACTTTCTGTAATGTGAAACCGATGTCAACTCCAGATTTATGGCCTGTGATTTACACAGTTTATAATAAAGCTTTCGCACTGTAAACTCTTGCATGATAAATTTTTTTATGAACTTCTATCCGATTATAAAACGACAAAATAACTAGCTTAGCATCAGAGACATGTGACTTCAGCCTCGAGAACTGTTTGTCATTTCCTTTCCTAATGTTTCTTTTGCCTGCTTTGTTTTATCATTTCATGTGGTGCCTGAAGTAAAACGCAGACAGAGCCTCTTCTGTCATGATTTGTGGTCTGAAGTTTCTAAGTGTCACGCACATGTTTACCGAGCAGAAATTCAGCTATAATCAATTAATTTTATTTTTGCTGTTGTTTCCAGCATGTGAAATAATTCACTGGATTCCTGTGGAAAGATATGATATTTATATGCCTGTTTTTCATGCATTTGTCATTCCACCTCATTAGTTTTGCTGTCTGGCTGTTGATATCTTAAAAAAACAGTTACCTCACCAACAGGCAAAGAAGGATTTGTTTGATATGAGTGTACTTTGAGAGCAGGAATTATATGAATGCTGCAATACATCAGCTGTGTGTGCTACAGTATTTCCATCTTTCTGATGCCAATTATCTTGACAAATTGTCAAAGGGAAAAATAAGTATACTTGATATGTGCATACATTTTTTATATTTGGATTATTTGACAAGGAACCAAGCTGTTGGAGAAGAAAGTATGAATCTTGAAACTGCCATGAGTTTTCTCAAGATCCAAAGATTCAGTATGTAATAGTCTGTGATTAAAAACATAACTAGAGTAAATTTTAACAACCACAGACTGTGCATATTTAGACAATTAAAAAATGTCTAGTAGAAATAATGGTCATAAAAAGGCACCGACTGTTAGGTTTTTTTCCAATAAGCAAGTATCTAGTAACATCTTTTTAATGTAATAAAATGACAATTTTTTACAACAAATTAGAGCCAGGAATTATGGACTAAAGTAAGAAAAAGCCTAAGCAGCAGTAATATAAAATATAGTGAAAATGTACAGGGCTTTACATATTTAAAAATATTGTCTTTAACATGTAATCATTCTGTTGACTTCTGCTCCACCGCTACTTTAAATTCACCTAATTGTTGTTGCATTTTTCATTTCTTAGTCCCTAATATTTGAATGAATTCAAATACTGTCCTTTTTTTCTATATTAAAGTGCTAACGTACTCATTCTGAACGTGAGAGATCGCACATTAACTCAACCATCAGCTGTGGGCTTTGCTCAATGGACAAACAACATTGGTTGTTTCCTATAGAGTCTCAGCTCCATCTGCTAAAGCCAATGACACTGCTGCTCAGTTTACTGCTTATAGCTCCAGTCTAAAAATACCATGGCTGCATTCTGTCATGTTTCCCTTGGGGAGTGATCCCACCTCAGGGAATCTCCTCACTGTTTGGAAATAGATTTGTTTTGCAGTGTTTCTACCCAGATGCACCACTGTTAGCATACGGTGGGCTTACAAAAAAAACCTGTAATGTTTTAATTCAGACCCTGGAGTATGGACTTTGTAACGTGTCGCTAATGACTTAATTTTACTCGAGGTCAATCGCAATGCGGTTGGCTCTTGAAAAGTGTTTGACCGATTGATCGTCTAAATTCATGGTCACAGACGTTGTCAATCCACATGAAAGTTTTCGTTTAGAGACTAGTTGTCTCTGACATTTTCTACAAAGGTGAATCATGTTCTACTTTGGGTCCATATGATGTAATGCAGATGACTCTCGAGTTTATCTCACCTAATTTTCCTGTCTGTGTGTATGTGTGTTTTAATCAAAGATTCACCTGCTTATGTTGTCCTCATGTTAAAGTTATAATCTGACATCATATTATTCTCAAACTAATTATCTTGATTCGGTTTTGTTTTAAATTTCTTCTGCCTTGTTTTCATTATACGATCACATGTCCTTATCACCAGAAACATGGGCATTTAAATGTATTATTTTCTTCTGTATATTTTTGAATGAGTGGTAACACCCTGAGACAAACCATAGACTGGTTTGGTTTGAAACAGGATGTAGCAGACTGGAGACCAACAGGATGTTTGCAAAGTGATTAAGGTGGTGCTTTGCATCAGACCAACTATCAATGAAAGTATATGGTGTTAACCTTCCACACATTGTGCCTTTGCATTTATGACTTAGCTGGAAAGTAATTTTAATCCATGTTTGTGTGCACGTGTGTTTTTCCATGTCCAAGTCAAGAAAAAAAAAATGTTTTTTTAATTACTACTTTTAGGTTGCTGCTGCTTAACTGCTGCTAATAATAATACTAATAATTGTTTTAATGTTCTTTCAGAGCTGGGTTTGGCACAGAGAAAGTTTGCCCAGTGCCTGGGAGAGTTTCATTTTGAATACATTGGAGATGCAAAGACAGATGATGAGAAATGCATTGGTAAGTGTGGGCTGGCCTCCTCACATGTTTGGCACTAACCCGCAGTTACATCACCACCACACAGACATGCAACAGTAAATGTTTGTCTATGGTTTTTTTCCTCTGTCTGCAGAGCAGAAACAGTTTCCCTGCATAACATACATGTTAACTTGTGGCAATTTACTGAATGGATTTGTTTTGGGTTTTTTCTTCCCCCCACAGATGAATCAATGCAAGAGTTCTCTAAATTCCTAACGAACCTAGAAGACCAAAGAGAGTTGATGGTGAGAAGAACCAGTCAGAACCTGCTTAAAGCAGAGAAAATACCTACATCTGTCTCTGTCTGTCAATACGTATACATATATTTATATATATATATACAATGTACTTCAAACCTCTTAAAGTCTTATTCCACCCAGGGAGGGGAATATAATGTCCTTTTCTTCAATTAGCTGTAGAGGACCAGCATGTAGTGGGCAGCACAAACCGGTTCCCTAGCAGCTGAATTTGTATTTATAGTGTTTGGTCTAAGGGTCACTGTCACAGCACCTTCCTGGGTGTGGCTGCAGAGAGGACAGAAGTGCATATGCATATTTTTCTCTTAATCAAGCTGTAAATACCAAGGCAGGTTGCATAATTTTTATATGTACTGATTTTGCAACAAAATAGCTTTGTGTGAAAGATATGTTACAGTGAATCACATATAAAAGTGTAGAATGTGGCTTTAAAGGAAGTTATTAGTCCTTAAATTCTATGGTGCAGTTTTCTTAAGTTCTCTTAATAAACAGCACCTCTGCCATAATGTCAGTCTGTAGTGTCTGAGCTTCGGACGAGGACATGGGCAGATGAGTGTTTTAGTGCCAGACACAGACCATAATGATAAACAGGCTGCTCTGACATCACTGTGCAAAGTCAGGGGCGGGAGGTTGGGCGTGCAGGCACCGACACGTCCTACAGTCTGCATAACACTAGAGGAATGAATGAAAAAAAAAAAAGAATTTAATCAATAGGCTCCTAAGAATAGAAATAGGAGTTTAAATAACTAGGGACGAGTGGTGTTGGAATAAAAAACACCTGCTGTGACCCTGGAGTCCAATAATCTCTGTACCGTTGACACCGTGTACTGGGAAGAAACAAACGTTAATAACCCAATTAAACTGTAATGTGGTGAATCTGGCTGCTGAGGTACTTTAATTGATCCTAAGAATAGAAATAGGAGTTTAAATAACTCGGGACGAGTGGTGTTGGAATAAAAAACACCTGCTGTGACCCTGGAGTCCAATAATCTCTGTACCGTTGACACCGTGTACTGGGAAGAAACAAACGTTAATAACCCAATTAAACTGTAATGTGGTGAATCTGGCTGCTGAGGTACTTTAATTCTGTTTTGACCTTTTTATCTGCCTAGATGAGAAACATCACGGAAACTTTAATGAAACCCTTGGAGAAGTTCAGGAAAGAACATCTGGGCACAGCAAGGGTAATGTACTGTATGGATTTCCTTTAACGTTGTTGTTGTACTGCATATCTCTCAGTGAGCAGATCTGTTTAATTGTCATTTTTAAACTGCTTCTTTTTTTTTAACTCTGCAAGTAACCTGAATAATTTTCCATTCCCTCTCCTGCTCTCTTCCAGGTGGAAAGAAAGAAGTACGAGAAAGAGACAGAGAAATACTACAGCTCCTTAGAAAAGCTGCTGAACATGTCTGCGAGGAAGAAAGAGCCACAGCTTCAGGAGGTATTTATTATCCTTGTCTGGACTCTGACAGATATGTAGAGCTGTGGCAGCCCAAAGGACAGAAACAGGTATTTTATACAGTCTAAGAATCCATGTTTAGGCCTTTCTGTTAGAGCCTTGGGGAGGAGCCTCGGCGCAAAGCCTCCCGAATCGTGTGAGTTTCCATTGCCCCGCAGCAACGCTTTTCCTGGCCTGTTTGTAAAGGAAATGTGTGCTCACCCCAACCAAGGCTGACCCCTGCATACTGCAGTTTTAGCATAACTCACGCTGCTGTACTATGGAATGAAAACCCGACAGGCTCTGATTTCATAATGCGGCGTCTCTGTTATATTGTGGGCTCCATGTGTCCATGTAAGGCCGCTGCATGTGTTGTATTTACAGAGCAGCACTTGAAAGTGTTGACTTTATCCACGCAGGCAGCTCCGTCTCTGCCTCTGTACTGTACGTGACTCCTGTCCCATGTGTACATGTGGACCCTGTGTAACCGATAGTAAATAATCATACACTTTACTAGTGAAGAGGTACTTGTGTTGTCAACTAGCCAAACATAGTAGTTCTGTATTTTAGCGGTTAGCACACCTGCCTCGAAAGCTGAGAGCGGGTAGTACTGGGCTCCCAGAGAAACCTCATACTTGGTGCCTGTAGGGGGCAGTCTGTTGTAGCAGATCTGCTGTTAACCCAAGAAAGTGTGGGATCAATAAAGTTAATTTATTTTTCAATTATTATTATAATTATCAAAACTGTATTTTATGCATGGAACACATTATAGAATTACTGTTTTTTTTTCTTTTGTTTATTTTTCATAAATTTTATTTGTAAATGATTGAAAAGGGGTAAAGAAATGGAGAAAAAAGAAAGAGTTAATGTTTATTTACGCAAAACTATTTAAATTTGATTGAATTCTTCATATTATTATTATTACACACAAGTTTACCACCAAGGTTTAATCGCTTAACTCATCTCTGCTGAAGTTGGCTTCATTTTGGTAAAATCTCTGTCTGCACTGCCCAGTGATTTCTCCTCTCGTCTCTGGGAGAAAAAATAAATAAATAAATGAATGCACTGTGACAGGCTCGACGCTATTTCCAAAATGAATTCGACTCATATAAATAGAAATAGACTGGCAGAAGCAGTGGAGGTGAGGGAACAGTGGGACAAAGGAGGGGACGGGGGCCGGGACAACCTGTGACCGCTGCCTGAAAAAAAAAAAAAAAAATCCAACACCTTGTAGGGCGCTAGTGTTCTCCAAACAAGTGTGTGTTTGAGCTGCAGAGTTAGAAATGCCACAAAACACAGAAATAGACAAAGTGTCACTGCACATCAGCAGGACCACTGACGGGTCTTTACTCTGCTGCCCTGCCCCGCAGTTTGATCCACACATGTCCACCTGCAAAATGCAGTACCTGGTTGCTACAGTGGAATTTATAACAAGCCCCAGAATTCAGTTTTTTTCTTTATACTGAAAGATTTAGGACTATAGACCTAAGTGTAAGCAGTGGCATAAATAAGTAGATTCCATTGGTGAGTCAAAATTACTGACTCACCAATAGAGTTTTGTGTGGTTTTTAGAACTTCTGTCATGTTCTGACGCGTCTCCTGGGCTTCTACAGCTTTGACAGGTTTTATCATTATGTCTTTGTCAATGGTTGAGCTGTATTTTATTTTATCTGTTTCATTTGTTGTGGTTTTTCAACCATAAATAAATACTATAAAATGATTAAAGCTAAAACAACAGGACCTGATCTACAGCAGGTCCATCTGATTTTTCCAAAGCTAAAGTGAACTGATGAACACACCACCTGGTGTAAAAGACCCCAGAACTGAAGGAAAATTCACTGATGGAAACTGTATGTCCTCAAATGGATATATAGAATAAAGTTGTCATTTTCATAAATGAAGTTTTTCATATATTTTTTTTTACTTACCTTTTTTTACAATAGGCATAACTTGATTTCACATAATTAAGTCAGAAACTACTACTATATGAATGTGTTAGTGTTTCCTGAAACATGTTAGTAGCAGAAGGACATTGTTCGCACAGTTTTGAAATTGGGTTTAAATCCTTGGCTCTCTGATTGCACTGTATCATCTACTAGTAGCAGAAAGTTTTGAAATTGGATTTAAATCCCTGGCTCTCTGATTGCACTGTATCATCTACATCATGAGTTTGTCTTTGACTCTGACTCTGACTGAGTCACTCTTTATAATCCCTGTGGTTTGTGTCTGTGTTTGTTTGTATTTTCTCCAGGCGGACTCCCAGGTGGAAACCCTGAGGCTGCACTTTCAGGAGGAGTCGCTGGAGTACGTTTGCAAACTGCAGGAGATTCAAGAGAGGAAGAAGTTTGAGTGTGTGGAGCCAGTGAGTTCTCAGAGCCTCCTTTTTGGTTTTGGTTTCTTTCTGACTAATCTGTGACCTAAGAGTTTTGGCATCCCCCTACTGGGGTAGCACCTTCTTCAGAAAATAACAGTCTGTTTTAGTTTCTAATGTGTTTGTTTTTTTTCACTCTCTTTTTCTTCAGATGGTGGCCTTCTTTCAGACAGTCTTTACCTTTTATCACCAGGGTTTTGAACTGGCCAAGGACTTTGCTCATTATAAGACAGCATTGCAGATCAATATTCAGAATGTAAGAAACACTGGGAGTTCATGAAGATGAAATTGAAACAGATGTAACAGTAATTATTGAATCATAGAAATTGATACAAATGTGTGACAGTTCGCATTGGTTGAAATAATAAATGAGATTTCTTTTTTTTTTTTTCTCTCCCAGACAAGGAACCGATTTGAGGGTGCACGGTCAGAGGTGTATGAGCTCATGAAGAGGATCAGGGAGGCTCCACAGGAGTACAGACAGACCAGTCCTATCAGCTGTGAAGGTTACCTTTATGTACAGGAAAAACGTAAGACATCAGTTATTATACAATATCTATAATTATAGTGATGTATTTCTGAAGCAGTAAAACAGTTATAAAATGCTATACCGGACTGTAAAAAAAAAGTAGGAAATGAAAATATTTTATTCCAATGAAAGTCACCACGTTTGTGCTTTTCGTTCTATATATTTGGGGAAATCTTTATTTTTGCTAGATGGAAGGAAATGTCATTGTGAAAGTCTTGTGACTGATTAAAGTCTCACATCTATTTTTCTTTGTTTTTTTCAGGGCCACCCCCCTTTGGTTCAAGTTGGGTCAAACGCTACTGCACATTCATAAAAGAGCAGAAGATCCTGAACATGGTGACCTTTGACCAGAGATCTGGCGGAAAGTTTGTGAGTCGACACAGAACACAGGACGAAAACTGTGACCATTTATTAGGCCCACAGGAGTTCTTAAGGTGTTTTCCTTCTGTTTTCTCAGGGTGAGATGGAGTCTGTCACACTCAAATCATGTCTTCGCAAAACAACTGACATGCTGGACCGGAGGTTCTGCTTAGACCTTGACATAACTGACCGGTATATACATTGTTTTTTTTTTTACACTTTATTCTTGTATTTGTGTCACTGATGATTGAGATGACGCATAATTCATATCCGACCTACACGTGACTCATGTCTGACTTAGATTTAGACTGTCTGTGTCGTTTCATTTTTAACCCGGTTCTCTCTGTGCTGTAATGACACTGGTACTGGGCTCCATACACAGCAAAATGAATGAGTTTTGTTAAGGATAAATAAATAAGGTGTTTTGTGTGAATTGTTTCACCCATTTACTCCAGAGAAGGATTGTGGGGTTTCAGACACTGTTGTTAAACAACAGAGTCTGACTCACAGTCTCTGCGCTGCTTCATGTTCTCTCAGGGCTGACTTGTCAAGTTGTTGCTCAGCAAACCCACCCAGCCATGACTTTATGGAGTTTGCTTTGAGCTCTGTTGCACAGGCCTGCAACATTATCTATCAAAACACCGTTTATCCCCAGGGCTGCAGCGCTTCATGGATCGCCCAACGGCTAATTGACTGCTAGATTAGTCGATTAATGAATTTGATGTTGTCTTATTATTTTTTAAAAATGTTTTTTCATGAGTGATTTCTGTGTAATGAAAAGTGTGTTTCTGAGGTTCTAAAGTGTAGATTTGTTTTGGTTTGATCTTTGATGGGAAATATCTGTGATTTCACCCTTGATAAAATGTTCTCCTTAACATATTCCCAAAAGTTTTAATTACTGGGCAACCATTAGTGAAGTAGCTTTCTATGTCATTTGGGTTATTTAATAATTTGGTTATTTCTCATGAATACGAAGTTAGAAAGGTATTTATAAAAAATGATGTGGTTGAAGGGAGTGTTTAATTTTCTTATTTAATTAGTGTAACTGATCTTTCTGTCCATTTCTCATATGAAAATTAAAAAAACAAAACAAAAAACGATTAAAACGTGATTCCCTGCTACAGGGTTCTGTAAACCAGAATAGAAGGGATTGCCCTCGTATGTATTCGTGTGACGATTTGTCTCAGCCCACTGTGTCCTCCAGTAATAAAACCCTTGTTTTTCTCCATGCACCCCACCTCTGCCCGGCCCATTCTCTGTGATATTAATAGAAAAGAAAAACCCCAGATTTAGTCATTTGAGTCCACAGATTTCAGGTGGGTAACATAATCTGAAACCACCTGGAGAGAGCTGCGGGGCGTTTATCTGTAGCTGTGCAGTTTGTGTCCTTGTCACTGAAAAAGGACACAAACTACTAGGAAAAAAAAACAACAACAACTCTACAATGAAAGGTTTCGGAATGGGACTTAAACTGTGAGCTCACTTTGAAAGTCTCTGAAGGGTATCGGAATGGGACCTAAACTGTGAGCTCACTTTGAAAGTCTCTGGATGTTTACAGCTAACGTTGTTTTCCTCCCTTCTAGCCCAGGGACGGTGCTTACAGTACAGGCCCTGTCAGAAGATGACCACAAGTTCTGGATACAGGCCATGGGTGGGAAGGAACCTGTGAGTCACGCACCAACACTGTTGTGTCATCTCTGTTCACTCACACTTAGCTGTCGTATTCCCACTGTGTTTTGAAATGAAAATTTCATAAAATAACAACCTTGTACTGACGCTTTTCTAAAGGTCTGGTGGATTTACTGTGTAACTGCGTAGTGTTTACTGTTTAAAACTGTCCTTTACCAGATTGGACACTACCTTGGGAGAACATATTCTAAAGAAAGAGGAAGTAAGTTTGACATGTAAAAAAAAACGTTTTTTTAAAAAAAATCACAGGATACAGTTTCTGATGTATCATCATGTTAGTATTTCGACATTCATAATTTTTTGCCCCCACCTCTTGCAGTCGATGCCCAGCTGGATGAAGTTGGTCTGAGTTTTGTGAAAAACTCAATTAGTGCGATTGAAACAAGAGGTAAGAATTCATAGATCAAAATTCACAAAATTATTATCCTATTGCAGTATGATTTGGATGATTAAAAATGTAACGTGATCTCATGGCGCAAATGGGTGCACGGTTTTTTATGTCCACAAGGTGGCAGTCGTGTGCCAAAATTGAAGCATGTGCCTGGTTTGAGCAGTATGTGATGAAGAGAGCACAAATACTTTTCTATTGCTGTGAACTACTTAATGTTTTTTTAATTATTTGCGAAAATATTGTTTTGAAATGTTTTAATTTGTCACAGCTTGCCAGACACAACAAAAAACAACACTGTTAAAACATAAATAATGTGTTCAAATCATATCAGTCACATTCAGTCAGTCAGACTTAATTCATTAATTCTGACCTGTTTTTTCATGTGATCTGTTGTTAATTATTATCATTTTTATTGTAAAGGTTTTTGCCTCAAGTGAAATCATACTGTTTCTTTTAGCAAATTTCAAATTCAGTTTTTATTTCTTCCTAGGTATCAACGACCAGGGTCTGTACCGTGTTGTCGGCGTCAGCTCCAAGGTCCAGAAACTCCTCGCATTAATGATTGGTAAGTGAATTTACTTGGTCGTTATACTTATTACAGCACAGGAAGAGTTTTTTTTTTTGTTGAAGTAAAATACTGTTGAAATACCTCTCATTTAATATACAGCTGTGCACTCAACGATGTCAAAAGATAAGATGTGGTAATTAACCTATGATTCAACCTGTCTTCTGCAATCTTTCCTTCTCCCTCTGAGGTTTAACTGTATAACTTCTAACTTTTGTTTCATTATTTTTTTGCTGTTGTTTTATATTTATCCAACCAAAATCTGCTGCAGCCTTTTTAATAATAGCAGTCCGAGAATCAAACGATGGCCTTGCAGTGAAGCACTCTAGAATGTTCTCAGCAGTTTTTAGTCATCTTCTGGCGTGTTCCTGAAATTTCTTTTCTAGCATTTGTATCTAAAAGACCACAAAGTAACACACACACACACCAGGTCATCTACAGTATGACCTCAGACCCCATGAAGTACATGAAGAGTCTGATATTTAAATCTTCATGAGCTCGTGGTTTTCTGTACATCCTCAGTGTTGCAACGGAGGAAATGTAAAGTGCCGCAGCACAAACACACCTTGTATTCCCTGTGGAGCTGTTGAAGTAGTGAGGGATTAATTAAACTTGTAATGAGTATTGAACCAGCCACATCTACAGAGGCTGTGACTTCTTTTCATATCCACCGAGGCCAGGCGCGGCCCTTTTTTTTTTCTGCCAACATCACACGCCGGTCCTTAATGATTTATATAAAGAGAAGTGTTAGTGAGGCACCGTGCTGTTAATGTGTAGCTCTGTCTGACTGACACGTGGCCTGGTTGGGATTTATTTAGATGAGAAAAGCAACGAGGTGGATCTGTCCGTCAGTGAGGACTGGGACGTGAAGACGATAACAAGTGCGCTCAAGCTTTATCTGAGGTAAGGATCAGTGTAATGACACACACACACACACACCAACATACTGCTACAGTAATCATTAGTCAGTTACTCAACCAGGATCCTCCCAAAGGGATATACAGTATACAGTACAGTAACAAACTCACTAAAATCAGAGTTAAACAATTTTATAACAAACAAAACGGCTTGAAAGACTGAGGAGAAAGAAGTAAAAGTTTTTTTTGTTTTTTTTTTCCAAACTGCAGTGAAGGACAAAGGTTTGAAGACAAGACCAAAATTTGTCAAAGAATAATTTGTTTTTTTAGAATATATTGGAATATTAGTTTTCAGGTATTTAGGTTTTTCATACTTCAATTTTACTTTCTTTAAAGTAACCTCTGGCTTTAGCAACTTCTCCACATAAATATCAGACATTCCTTCCCCAAGTTATTTAAAGTATGTGCCAGAAATTGCATTCAAAGGTTTCTGAAGTTCATCAATGAAACTGCTAAATGGTGGGATTTAATTTTCGGACTGATTGATGCAACTTGTCCCACACAAGCTGGAGAGTGCGGGAGGCCTAGCCATATTTCAAAGAAAGACCCTCCTCTGCTTTTCTGTCTAGATAAACATGACAGAGCTTTTAAAAAATGCTTAAAGTCATAATCTTGCAACATAGCAAACGATCCTCTAAACCCATTAAAATATTTCAGTTTGTTTTGTAAGTCGACCGACTGACCTGTGTTTATAACTTCACTGCATGTACGCAGGCAGTACCACAGCCACAGTTTGTACCCAGCTACAGTCGAACATGGTGATAACCGCTGCTCTACTGCAGTAGTCGACTTCAACTTAAATGTTTCACTGATTCGTCTCTCACTCTCTGCCGTGCTGGAATAAAGGGGAATTAATCTCCTCACTTCCCCCAGTTCTAAGTTCTAAGTCCTTTCTGGCCACTGTCCAGCTGCAGTGTGAAAGTACCTTCAGATGAACTTGGTTATCTCCACGTGCGAACCATCTAATTCCATCCCCGGGCCTGGCCACATTAATCACTGCTGTGTGTTGACACTATAAAACAGTTTGCTGGCTATTTCTGCCAACCACCCCCACTCCCCCACACTGCCCCCCCCAACCTAACCCTATGTCTAACCCCCACTCTGCTCATTTCTTGCCCTGAAGGAGTCTTCCTGAGCCCTTGATGACCTACGGACTTTACAAAGAGTTCATCAGTCCAGCAAGTGAGTTTGACCGCCTTTATTAACCATCATATCTAATCATCTCAGCAAGCAATAAATTAGACATCCATATGGTCTGGACCAGTGGTTCTCAAACTTTTTATCCTCTGTACCACCTGAGAAAAGACTGAGCTCTCTGTGATGACCAACGTTAGAATATAGATTTATTCAATTGATAACGTAAGAGTGAAAATTTGAATTTTCTCCGCGTGCCACTGGTGGTACGCGTACTTCGGTTTGAGAATCTTGGAGCCAAAACATCAATTTAGTAAAAAAAAAAAGTACAACTTTAAAATAATAAATGTTCATCACTCATGGTCATCATTTTACATTCTACTTTAAATGTTCCAATGTAAATCAACATTAGTACAGTCTTTTGATTTTATTTTTTAAATATTTACCATTCCCTTTTAATGTCAGTATCTTAGCCTACTTTTCCTTTTGTCCCTTAAAAATATGTGGTCCAGCAGGACATTTGAAGTCCACTCCACTCTGAGATTTAAAAATGCCAAATAAAAGCTGATATTAATGCCCTGAAACCACTGCGTCCCACTAAAAGCAAATTGAAAATGGTAATTTTTTTTAACACGTAATTTATCTATGAGATGTTTTTTTTTCCAAAGCGAAACCAAATGTTATTACACCTGATGCTATAATTGGATCAGGTTGACATTTTTATCAGACTGCTGCAACGTCCCCTGAACAGTGGGGTAAAAGTGGATTAGCACTGAATGTTATTTGATGGGTGACAACATTCACAAGAGGATTTTTTTTCATCATGTTTATATCCTGGTGGTTACCATAGTAATGGTATTTTGTGTGTCAGTGTATAATAGCGTGTGTACGTGTGGGCGACCAGATGCCCATGTGTGAGTTAATGTTTAAGAGATGATCTTAAGAGGTTTTAACACAAACCCTTTTATGTCACAGTGGCCGCCGCATGACTTCATACCGCCTTCGTCGTTGGCACTACGTTTTGTTAACTTGTTATGTTTTAACAAGGCTGTCAGATGATTGCGAATAAATCACGATTCATTTAAATATTCCAAAGTACAAGTCAGAATTAAACTTGACAGAGTCGGTGGATTTTAGTCATCACTACAGCGTGCATCGTCACGGTGGCTCCTAAAACGCCTGGAGAGTTGCTTTCGCTGAAGCCGTTGTCCTCGACAATATTAATCAGTCTACCCTCACAATCCTCCTGGCAGCTGTGTCAGTCAGTTTGTCAGTCGTCGACTCACAGTACTTACTGCCCCGCTCTCAGTGAGACTCAGTGGTCTGATGTGAACCGAGGCGTCTGACCTGAAGTTGAAGCCTCTACACAAGATGGTATTTTAAAATCCAAGTGCTTTAGTGAAACAAAAACACTTCATCAAACAGTGTGAAACATTGCGTTACAAATAACATGTGTTGAAACTATGGGATGTAGAGTAAGCAACATTTTGTGTTTGCGTTGAATGTGTTCAAAATTGAATCTGTTTATTTTTTACAAAACAACAAATGTGGATAATGTGTTGATCCTGACGGCGTTAATTTAAACACTTTTGCTGCGTCTGATTGGTCTAGTCATAGAGTGTTGACTTTTAAGGTGGAGGTGGAGATCACTTCATATTAGCCACAACAACAAACTATGGTTCTATGGCTAAACTTTTTTTTTCTCTTTATTTAAACAGAGGGTGACAGCCCAGAGTGTCGCATCCAGGCCGTTCACTGTCTGGTCCACAAACTCCCAGAAAGAAATCGTCAAGTCCTCGGGCTACTTATGAGGCATCTGGCCAAGTGAGTGTTCATAGATACTTGGTCATAGTTCACCCAATCTCCACCTCCTCTCTCTCCCTCACTCCCTCCCTGGGTTCTCTCTTTCTGTTCTTCCTGTCTGTCTCCTCGTTCTCACTCCACATGCTTTTCTCTTCTTCCCTCACTCCCACTCTCTTCACTCCCCCTTCCCTGCTGTCACTTCATCTCATCTCTGTCTATTCACTGACTGCTGGCTAAAAAATGTGGTGCCTATAGCTGCTGCAACATTTTCTATAGCCTGTTAGGTCATTTCACAGACAGACTTTAATTGGTTGAGCTGCGTTTTTCTGCCGTATAGTTTCCGCAGCCCGGCTGTAAAATAAAATAAAATAAAATACTCTAAATTAAGCATTCCCCTGAGATTACCTTATCCACCCCTGGTTTTGGCTCTTTTCTTGCATCGCCCCATTTTTGACATGTGATAAAAGAAAAGATTTAGCTAACATAACAAGGTTTTACCCCGGTGAGCTTTTTATAAACTAAATATGAGCAAATTGCAGATAAGTAAATAATCCTTCTTTCCTGAGGCAGAAAAAAAAGTCAGGATTTTATTTCATAGAAAACCTCAGCAGAATCAGACTCTTGTAAAAAGGCAGTGCTATTGAAATTGAATTTGGATTATCTGGCGTGAAATTCTCCAGACTGGAGAACTGAAATTTTTTTTTCTGAGGCTGGCGTATGTGCATGTCCTGCAGGGAAAAGGAAGCAAAGCCAGAATTTTCACACTCCTATCTAAAATGATTTGAGCAGTGTTATAAATGTGAGCTGTCACCAGTGTTTTGGTCTTCAAAGGCGTCTTTTTGAGCAGTTTTAAAACTGCCTCTCTCCACAAATGCACCACGTCATTATTTTATTTTGACTCCAAAATCTTTTTACGTTTCCTAATTTTTTTTTTTTTGTATATTTGTTTTACCCCAACTTTTTTTGACCTTCTAAAATCTTTTAAAAATAACAGAGACTTTTCCAGGCAATAAAAGGACGGGACATGATTTGAATAACGCCGTAATTGCTTCTAAGTGTCTCTCGACGATCCCTCATCCATCTGTGCTTCAGGGTTTACGTACAATTTAAGGCATTAGAAATAGCCTTGGTGACTGAATGACTCTATATTAAAGATTAAAAGAAAACTTCATTGATTCAGTTATTACATTTCATAACATGCCGGGGTTATTTAAAACGCTCTAAGACAGATGTAATGTTGAAATATTTCTGCCTTAAAGAATAAAAACATCTCCAGTGGCCTTGACAGGTTTAATCACATTACTGATTTGCATTGATCCTCAGTTGAAAACAAAGCAAAGGTCAAACTTTTAACAGAACTTTAACGGCAACCTGCTAAAACGATTTATCTGATGTTTTTCTTTCCCCCAAAACTGAAAGAAAATTTCATTGGAATTTGATTGCAGTCCATGGATGAGACAGAATCACAGGTCATGACCTGGGACAACGGACATTGCCCAGAAATGATGATTAACTGTGATAAATCAACATTTCTTCACGTGCAAAAATCCCAGATTCTGTATAATACTGGAACAGAAAGACAAATAACAGCAGATAGATGTGTGTGTTTTAGAACTGTTTTATTTGTGACTAATCCAAATGATGGATCTGACATGGATTGATCTGGTTCATTTGTCAGAGTGGCCGCCCACAGCAAACAGAATCTGATGACTGTGGCCAATCTGGGCGTGGTTTTCGGCCCTACGTTGATGAGGCCGCAGGAGGAGACCGTCGCCGCCATCATGGATCTAAAGTTCCAGAACATAGTGGTGGAAATCCTCATTGAACAACATGAAAAGGTAAAAGTTGTGTCCGTGTATGTCGTTTCCGATTAACGCTGTTCTACTTAGAGACAGAGACGGCTCTTAGCCTGGGACACATTGGAAGTCACGAACAGATGGTGCAAATCTCATTCTTAAATGACAAAATACATGCATTTTAATAATTGAAAATAAATTAATAAAATTCTCTGAAAAATCTAAGCTGATACATTTTTGACATTTACTCACAGACCAGGTGTGTCCCCAGGGCCTGGAGTTTGAGACACCTACATTTTATAGGGCTATTATAATTGTGTTGTCCAATAATGTTTTATGTGCAGTTTGCACTAGGAGGCGTCAAACCATAAACTAGCTAGAGTAACAAAAATGTTGTTACACTAGGCTAGAATGAACTGCAAAATCTTACTCCAAACTAGGAACCAGAAATGGTAAATGGCTAGAGTTTTTTGTGTGGCCCATAGGGGGCACTGCAATGCTTTTATCAGTGTACTCTATCAATTTTCATTTGGTTTTTGTACAACATCTTACATCATTTTATAAGGCAGTCTTTGGCTGCGTTAAATACATTTATTTTGGTGGATTTCTAACCTGTAGGTCCTGGATTCCTGTAATCTCCTCAGAATGTCATTAATCTGTGTCAGTCCTCAAAGGGGGATAATTCTCTGTGTCAAAAGAGGGAAAAAAAGGTTTGAGATTAAATTTTAATCTGTTTGGCACCGCACTGCTCTTTAAATAGAATCAGATGAAACTGTAAGATTTTTACTGATTTTTTTTTTTTTTCCTCCCCTCCTCATCCTTCGTTAATGGAAGACAATGTGGGTCGATGCTTCGTTAATGGAAGACAATGTGGGTCGTGAACATGACCTCACCCCAACTCACAAAATGTAACTCCACAGGGTATACAGATGTGGCAAGGCCCCCCTCCCCCGCTGCGGCAGCAGCAGCGGCACAGTGTATACCAGAGGTGTCCAACACCGTGATGATACGCCCCGGTGATAAAGGATGTAGTGTTAGAATGCAGCAAGAGCTTTTTTGGAAAGTACAGCGTGTTGGAGGGTAAAAGTTGAGCAGACAGACAGACAGGCATTAACTTTCCTCATAGGCGAGTCCCACTCCAGACTGTTTTTACCTCCAGATACCAACAGTAGACTCTGTTTTACATTCACCTCCATCTGCAGAGAGGCGAGAGGGAGACAGAGAGGCTGCAGAAACTCTCAGCCATATCAGATTTCTCACTTTTTCTATCTCTCTTTCTCCTACAAACTTTCTCTCTCATTTCCCTCCTCTGTCTGCCTCTCCTGTTCACACACTCTCACTTATTCTGCCACAGTCTCTCTCCCTCCCTCCTTCCCTCCATCCCTCCCTCCTCTTCCCTCCATAGCTCCCTCCTCTCCTCATCTGTGATCCCTTCTGAATCTCTACTGAGATTTCCTCCTCTCTGCAACCTTATTCTCTTTTAACTCTACATCAGAAGTCCATATGTAAACACAGTCCAGTGTAAACAGGTCTGCACCAGTATGCAAGCCTTTTTATTTTGCCTGCACTTTTGAGCGGAAATGTCACCCGTATTTGGATCCCGCTTCTGCAAGGGGGTCTGATTGCATCATTTGTGGAAGTGCTGGGTTTTTGTTTTTTTGTTTTGTTTATTTTGGTGTGAAATAAAACCCTCTACGGTACTTAAAAAAAAAAAACCAAAAAAAAAAAACAATAACTTTCTTCCCGTACTGGGCCACAGAGCACATGCTGTGGCTGCAACTGTTTTTTTTTCTTTCTTCCCCTTTTCTATTTTTTTCATCTACTGCCACATACAGCCTGTGAGTTTCAGAACCCTTCCAATAAAAGTGAGGTCAGTTGAGGACACAGTGCTGCTGCTGCTACTGCTGCTGCTGCTGCTTTTGCTTTTGCTTTTGGAGTCTGCGTTTACTCTTGGTAGAGACTCACTCTCTTCACACGTCTCCAGATTTTTGCAGATCCTCCCGATTCTTGCTCCACTCCACCTGCTGCCCCAGTATTTTCTGCTCCCACAAGGCAGTCCAAGAAAGTGAGTCGACAGAACAGGCCCTTGGCTGTCTACAACCCACAATCTCTAGACATTCAGAATGGTAAGAGGCATTTACATCACACCTAAGATTATAAAACCATACAGCATATAATAAAATTCAACAGTGTTTTAATACCCCTGGCTGTAAAAAAAAAAACATTTTTTGTTTAGGTTTTTTGGAGTTTTATCCACGGTCAGACTGTACCATGGAAAATACAGTGGAGACTAGGAAGTTATTAAGAAAAAGTGAAATTTAAATAACTGGTTGTGTTGGTTATCACTGTAGTAAAATACTGCACCGAAACTTTAAAGTAAATTTTACTAAATGTAATTATGTATTTTTTCATCATGAGCTGTAATAGTGCGTCTGGATTTATCAAACATTTGTGCATCTTTTCTTAATTTTCCAGCATCAGACAAATGGTACCTGACCTTTTGACCTTAAATGAATCTGGCTTCAGTAGGATTGAAATCTGGAACCACTTGATTCCCATTCTTTCCAAAATTCAAAAGCGGTTGAAAAGAGATCACCAGACTGTCTTTGTTTGCCTTCCTGGTGTATGAACAGTGTTACTGTAACAACAGGAACGGCTGTGGAAAAACATTTGGTAAAAAAAAAAAACACCTGGAAACCCAGTCATTTTGGACTTTCTGCAACCCTTACAAACTGACTTTTAAAACTCCAAAAACCAAAGACCCAAAGAGAGCAGTTATACGTTTTATATGTTTGTGAATTACAGTCAGAATTAAGATTGTCTCAAACTGAAATGCACTTCACTAGAAGCCACATCAATTGTCAATTTTCATTATGTAAAAAATGTTGGGTTTTTTTTGTTCAATATAAGAAACAAAATCCTTTAAAATAAAATTTAAAAAATGTTAAAGACCAAAATAAAGTCATTACTGACATCTAGTTGCGGCCGGATTTGGGGGCTTCATGGGCAGAATGTTGCCTGCGGGCCATGAGTTTGAAACCTCTGCTTTAAACATGTTGAAAAAAAAAAACAGACAAAGTCTGATCCCAAAGTAAGATAAAAGTAATACACTGACCAATAATGGGTTTTCTTTTCAGTGAAACTGATAATAAAGAGTGAAACTGCATTAAGTATAAATTCAACCTTCCACATTTGAATTATCTTAATGTTGCTGTGTGTAACCTTGTTGTCTGTGTGTCAGTGTCCCCAGTGGCCGACAGTTGCGGTCCCACCGACGAGACCTCGATGGGCAGCAACGAGTCCGTATCTTCCCAGTCGTCATCGGCGTCAGCGTCAGAAACGCCCAGTGAGAGGAATGACCACGAACCCCTGGACGTCAGCCTCAGCTCAGGCAGTAACTGCGGGTGAGGGCGCTAACCTCTGGTCAGAATTAGACCCCCACTGGTAAAATACTGCTATTGCACTTAGGTGCAAATGTACGAGGTGGATACTTACAGAAACTAAAGAAAAAGGTGGTTCTGTAGTGCAGTGGTTATCACACATGCTTTACATGCAAAAGGTGCTGTGTTTGAGCCCCAGTGGAACCATATATTTAAGCCTCCATGTGTAAGGAATTATTGTGTCACGTTATCTGAAGGCTTTTAGAGTTTTTTTTTGTTTTTTTTTTAGCTGGACCTACAAACTAACTTTTTTTTCTCCTTTTGTATTGAACCCAGCTGTCTCTTAGTTTTTTTGTTGTTGTTGTTTCCAAAGTTGAAACAAACTTTTGCTTTTAGTTTCTGACTGTTTGTTACTTGTTTCAACTGGTGTCAAATTTCAACTCAATGTGTGCGAGCACAAATGGAACTGCACAGGATGTGTGTTTCATCTGCCAATCTAACGTGTGTGTGTTTATATTTGTTTTTTATGAAAATGCCAAAGTTTATCTCTGTCCAGTTTGCTACGATTTGATTTAACGTCTGCGCTTCTGAAAACCGAGAACTCCAACAAAAGAAAATCATCCTTTTTAAACATATCGAGCCGTCACTGATTGTGCAGCTGCATCATTTCTTTGTTGGAATGCTGTGAGGGAATTTTCAACAGCACCCAAGAGTAAACTGATTAGAATTATGATTTTAGAATTCAACACTGCACAAGACGGGGAACCTTGGAGTCGGGTAGAATTCCAAGAGTAATTTCAAACATTGCACAAACTTAAAACTTTTAGGTCAAAGGTCATACAGTAGGTGAAGGTTCAAGAAACTGTATAAAAATTGATTTTTTTTTCTCATGAATCTAATATGTAATAAATCTAGAATGGATTGAAAACATATCATTGAAATTATATCCCTAAATCAGTTTGATCAAAGGGTAATCTGATTTAAGTTTGACAAGCAGAGGTCAAAGGTCAAAGCTCCTCTTGTACTTATTTATGGTCTCATTTCAGTGAAATGTGATTTCAAACCCAGTGCTGCTTTCCAACACTCACGGAAAACTGGAATATAACTGGAGAGTTCGATGCTGTGCTGTACTTTTCCCTGGCTTCTCTTCTCTTCTCTCCGGCCTTGCTTTGTCTACTTAGTCCTTGGTCCTTTTTGTTGTTTCCAGCACTCGACGTCTCTTGAATGCTGATGCGAGAGAAGAAGAATTATTGTGCTACGCCACAGCTGTTAGACTCTCTGCTATGTCATGTCTGCGCTTCCACCTTGAAAGACACTTTCACCGTTCCCCTTCTCCTTCAGAGTTATCTAAAAGACACCGATAACTAAAAGGCAAATCTACCTCACAACTTGATGGAGGACGACATGGTTCTCTCACAGTGACCTCGGTGGGTGTGTGTTTGTCTCCCCGACTGGAGGCTTATTTTTATTAAGTTTTCCTTCTTTTTTTTTTTATTCAGCTGCCATATAAGACGGACACGGCTGTGCTACTTATGTAACTATCCTGAGTGGGTATTTATCTGTTTTTTTTCCATATATGTAGCATCATGTAGGACGGAAGAAGTAACCAGGAGGAGGTCATAAATCTCAGCTCGTATTTGGTTGGGAGACAGGTGGCTGTGCGTTGGCTGTGTAAATCCTATTGACATTGGGGAGATATTCATCTTGTTTACTCTTATAGACGCAGCCCCTGTCCCTTTATGGAGACTTGCGCCATATGTCACAGGGTGTCGGCCTGGCTTTGTTCTCTCATAAATCTTAGCGTGTGATATTGTGGAGACCTGTTAACACAGCACCTTTCTGGCCTGGAACCTAGGGACTGAGGACCAGTCCATGCCAGGGAGAGCAGTGGGAGTGGCCCTTTTTTCTGGAACATTTTCAGGCCGCCATCAGAAATGTATTATGTGCGCTTTATGGTGCACCTGCAAAAAAAACTGCATAAGAAGTATTTTTTTTTAGCAGCAGCAGAATCTGCCTGGTCGTAGACTAATGCAGGCCGAGTCACTGATGGAGCAACAACCGCTCACAGACCGAGGGGCAGTGGTGGATTAGTGGTTAAGGAAGTGGACTTGGGTCTGGAAGGTTCGAGTCCACCAGCTGCCAAGTTCCCACTGAGGTGCTCTGAGCGAGGCACCGTCCCCACACGCTGCTGCCCACTGTTCACTTTGGTGATAAAGCAGAGGTCACGTTTGGTCGTGTGCAGTGTCACAATGATAAGTCGTTCACTTTCCTTCCTTTAATCTTGATGATTACTCTGCCATCGAAATCGGCGGTTGTACTTAGCGCTCGATGATGGAGCAGCTAGATCATGGTCGTTTGATATTTGTGTGGCTGAGTCACCAGGGCTTTACGCCTCCACCAATCAGGATCATCAACTAACGTCCAAAATGCTGCCAGTGACGCAGGGTCAGAGAACGACACACCGGGTGCCTTTGTGTAGCATGTGTTGGTACAGGATTGTCTGTGGTTTCTGTGTTAGCCTCAGGCTGCTGCTGCTGCTGCTGCCGCTGTCGCGGGCTACACAGCCATAGTTATCTAAAAGACACCGATAACTAAAAGGCAAATCTACCTCACAACTTGATGGAGGACGACATGGTTCTCTCACAGTGACCTCGGTGGGTGTGTGTTTGTCTCCCCGACTGGAGGCTTATTTTTATTAAGTTTTCCTTCTTTTTTTTTTTATTCAGCTGCCATATAAGACGGACACGACTGTGCTACTTATGTAACTATCCTGAGTGGGTATTTATCTGTTTTTTTTCCATATATGTAGCATCATGTAGGACGGAAGAAGTAACCAGGAGGAGGTCATAAATCTCAGCTCGTATTTGGTTGGGAGACAGGTGGCTGTGCGTTGGCTGTGTAAATCCTATTGACATTGGGGAGATATTCATCTTGTTTACTCTTATAGACGCAGCCCCTGTCCCTTTATGGAGACTTGCGCCATATGTCACAGGGTGTCGGCCTGGCTTTGTTCTCTCATAAATCTTAGCGTGTGATATTGTGGAGACCTGTTAACACAGCACCTTTCTGGCCTGGAACCTAGGGACTGAGGACCAGTCCATGCCAGGGAGAGCAGTGGGAGTGGCCCTTTTTTCTGGAACATTTTCAGGCCGCCATCAGAAATGTATTATGTGCGCTTTATGGTGCACCTGCAAAAAAACTGCATAAGAAGTATTTTTTTAGCAGCAGCAGAATCTGCCTGGTCGTAGACTAATGCAGGCCGAGTCACTGATGGAGCAACAACCGCTCACAGACCGAGGGGCAGTGGTGGATTAGTGGTTAAGGAAGCGGACTTGGGTCTGGAAGGTTCGAGTCCACCAGCTGCCAAGTTCCCACCGAGGTGCTCTGAGCGAGGCACCGTCCCCACACGCTGCTGCCCACTGTTCACTTTGGTGATGGGTTAAAAACAGAGGTCATATTTGGTTGTGTGCAGTGGTGTGCTGTGTCCCAATGACAAGGAGTTCTCTTTCCTTTCCTTCATTTATCTACAGGTATTGTCGTTGCTCCTCAGCTACATTAAGTCCCCGTTTCCCCCCCACAGGTATTGGTCCTGATCTGTGAGCCCACATTTGGCCTTTTGTTATTTTTGGTCCCGGTTTCCCAGCTTCACCTCCTGCCCTCTGCGTCTGCCCCCTGGCTGACGGCTGGAGATTATAAAATGGTGGATCAGTGCTTATATCCTGGCCACCCAGACTGAGGATGGCGAGGCAGAGCCTCCGGTTAAAACACCAATAAATCCCGCTGCTGCCCTTCTTGCTTTAGTTAAAAAGAAAGTTGAGGATTCTGCTCATCCCCAGGTTTCAGGATCAGCGAGGCTGGATGTTTGCTGCTGGATGAAATTCCTTGGATAATGGAAAACAGCAGTCCGTTGCCTGACTGTTTCTTCTCAGCTACTGACTTGGAAAGTTCTGTGTCACTGTGAGATAAGTCTGCCGATTAAAATAATCAACCGACGTCCTTTTAATTTCCACTTCTCTTGATTATGTCTGACTTATGCGTATGTTCTATAGATGTTGTTACGAGGATGTCGACGTCATCACTCAGACCTTGCCCGCCGTGTGTTTCATAGCCTCCTATATTCTACTGTATTTAATCATATTTGCGGCAGAGGCTTAGCAAGGCTGACGATTCTGTAAAAAAAACAACAGAGGAGAAATTCAAAAAGCTCGCTGCTATTTTCGTTAGAGGGAAATGGCAAAAGCTTTCTCTCGGTTTGGCTTAGCTGTGATTGTGAGAGGAAATCTGGAATGAATCAATTTACCTCCGGTACATTTAACAAGTTTCTAGGGCAGCCGTGTAGAATACACAGATTTCTCTGTGGCTTTTATACAGAACTGTTTGCTTTAAACATCTTAAAGGATTTGTATAATCTTCTCTCGACTGAAAGCAGTCAGATGGCTGGGTTGATAATAATCCCTAATTGCCTCTGTGTGTGTGTGTGTGTGTGACTTTGTGTATAAGTTGGTTCACCTGGAGGTGTTGCTGTTGTTGCTGCTCTGTTCTGCCTCCTCTTGGCTGACACCCAGGCAGACAGTGTTTGTGCCCGGGCCCAGGTTAATGAGTGGATTTGCTGCACTGCAGCGCACTGTCCCCCCATGCTGATGTGGAGCAGCTGAGCACCACAGTGGCCCCCACGCTGCTGCAGAGCCATAAATCACCCACGGTCAGACCAGGCTTGAACTTAACAGCCACCAGTGGGGATGGACAGGCACTGGAGTTGGGATGATGGGGGTAGAAGTGAGGAGAGGGGGTTAAAAAGTGATCCTAGCACTATCGGCTGGCCACCACCTATGTCTACACAAGATCCCGCCCCCCTCCTCAAGGTAGTATTTTTCTCTACACTTGTGCTAGTGTAACTACTATTCACAACATCCTCTGGGCCTCCAGCCCCTCCTTGGTTGCTCAACCTAATTGCCTTTATTAACGTCTCTATGGGAGCGGCAGCTAGGAGCAATTTGCTCATTAAGTGCTGTATTAGCACAGGCCTCGGGGTAGACATGGAACACAGGGGGATGCCTGGCTTCGACTCCTGTTCTCCCTCCGCTCAGCCTTCAGCCGGACCCCCACCTCCGTGCTGTAGATCGGCCATAATCATGTTGTCTGTGAAAACGGCAAACGTGAAGGCGTGTTCGTTTCCTCTGTTGATCGTCCGACTGCTGCGTTTGAGGAAGGTTTTTTAACTCGCGACCCCGTCAGGTTTCCCCGGTGTGTCTCATCCCTTCACCTGTTTGCTGAAGCGCTCCAGTTCCTACAGACTCGATGGTCGTCTGACACTGACACGTTTCTCTAGTTCTGTCCTCACATCCTTTATGGCAGTGGTTCCCAAATCCTCTGTACCACCTGAGAAAACACTGATCTCTCTCTGAGTATCACCGTGACGACCAACATTAGACTGTAGCAGCACAGGCCTTCCCTGTTAGCTTCCATCACACAGGAGAGATGTTTAGAAATGTTTATAAAGATGTTTATGTTTAAATGTAACATATGAATTTTCCCCACGTACCACCGGTGGTACACGTACTACAGTTTGAGAACCACTGCTTTATGGGATGTTGGTGACTTTTCTTTTTGAAGTTACAGCAGGTTTGGGTTGTTGTTGTGTTTGAAGACAAACAGTGTGGGTGCCTCAGGTCTTACCTTTAAATCTTTTTTTTTGCTACAGTATCTGTTTTCCTATGCAGGATTACCAGTTCCTGTGAGATATCCACACAGCATTACACCCAACTTCACTGAGGGGAGAGTGTACTTTATATTATATATATATATTTATTTATATATACCTCTGTGTTTTTTTTTTTCCCTCTCCAAACATTGGCTCCGTCTCCATCCTAAGACTGCTACTTTTGTCTCCTCTGACCAGTTAAAACTCTTTCAGTATGTGCCGTCTGTCCTCAGGCTTTCCTCCACAGACTTGTTTTTCCTTAAACTCTGGTGTAGAACCGGGGGATCTTTTTGATGACAATTTATTTTCAGATCAAGTCTTTCACTACAGCCTTGACAGAAACTAGTAATGGAGGTGACTTTTGTTTTCTACCCGTGCTGATGGTGTTCTTCACCCGCGGGTCTCTTTGAACATCTTCATACCAACTTCTGTCTCCAGTTTTTGACATTTTAATAAGTTTATTTCTCTCCCTGCTCTGGGAGCTATAGGTGTTGTCTAAAGTAAGATCTTTTGGGTTTTGATGGAAATTTTTTTTTACACAGCTTCACAAACAAAATAAATATCAGATTTCAACATTTTTTAGAAATTCACATCTGTTAATAAATGTGTTGGTTCCATGATTTAAAACTTTAACTTTAGTAGTAATATAATTATACAACATGCTTTTGTCAAGAGCATCAGGCTCTTGAATGACTTGAACTTATCTGCACCAATTTTTTATTTCTGTTTTTTTATTACAAATTAAAATGATTAAAACTATTGTGTAAAAAAAAATTTTTTTTTGAGCGAATGCACCAGCAGTGACCGAGGTTTTGTTTTCATCTGCAGAACTGCGGCAGCATCGTGGTCGACTCCTGGAGCATCAGGAGAAAGTCAGCCTTCTCCCACCTCCACTGCTGCAGAGAAAAAACAGCCGGAGGAGAGGTGAGAAAACGCTCCTTCTCTGTTGTTTGTCAGTAAACTCAAGCTTCATTTTTGTTGATTTTAATCTGGCTGGTTTTCGCCGTTGCCATGCTAAGACGCCTAATTTTCTGCCACCTGCTTCTTTAATGACGTCCCGACCTGTTTGAAGTTGTCAGCACTCACTTTGTTTACCTTTGTTAAAGTCATTAAAAATGCAGCACTAGGTTTGTATTTTAACACGACTAACAGCAGAAGACCCCCCCCCCCTGCTGCCCCCTCCCAACAAACACATACCAGATGTAAATGTCTGCATGATCAGGCCTTTACACTGAGCTACGGCTGAGCTTCCTACAGAATAAATGATGAATTGTCGTTCATTTCAAAGAGCCCCGTCCTTGTGTTAGGCCCGTGTTAATGCTATTTTTATATAAAACCTACACAGATGTTTTTATTTCTGTCAAATGTGGTTCCACAAGACTGCCCGCCCCCGCTTCCCCCACTTCCCCCCGTCCCCAAATTCAGGATTACAAACTTGGCTGAACATTGCACTATTGACAACTCTGTGACCACAGAGTTTTTTTTTTTTTTTTAGTTTGTAAGTCCTCGTTCTCTACACAATACTGTTGCTGCCCTGCAGAGAGAATATGAAATATTTATCAGGGCATCATGTGTTGAAGGCACAAATTCTACGGTAATGTTGCTGGCGTTTGAGATAAGTGTGTGCAGCAGCGGGCAAACAGCCTTTCAGCAAAGACTGTTTTTATGGTTTTTGGAATGGAGTGGCATAAACACAGCTTTTGACTAACCTCCGCCGAGCGCCGAACGCTGTTCCTTTGACGACGCGCTTTCACAACACGTTGATTTAAAATGCAGCTCCTCGGCTCTCGAATGTGAATTCAGGAGCTGGAGCACAGTGACGGGAGGTTCTCTATTCTACCTGTGTTTGTGTGTAGACCTACTTCAGAACCGGCCCACCGCTCTTTAATTATCCCACCATAGATGCTTGTCTGCCATGCAAACCTGATGTGTCCGTGCCTTTTTGTGTGCTCCACAAAAAACCTGTTACAAACAGCGCTGCAGCTCATTTTGTTAGCGCACGCACACGAACGCGTGTGGGTGTTTTTATTTTTTTTCTGACTCACGCACCACTGTGTCTAGACTGGAGATAGAGTAGTGCAGAGCAGCCTGGCTCCACTCTTAGTACTTTTCCTTATTTTCCAGCCTGGCCCATTTCTGCTGTTTCAGGCTAGTAAGCGAATAAAGAAGCAGGCCCTGGGCCCAGATTGAACTATGTAGTAATCCTCCTCAAAGCTCTGCCAGCTCACTGATTGCCTTCATTTTTCAGTGTCACCAGTAGGAAAGCCAAGGCTGTGTACTCATGTGAGGCTGAGCACGACTCTGAGCTCTCCTTCCCAGTCGGCGCAATATTCAACGCCGGTAAGTGTTATCGCTTACACCAGTCGCTCACTCAGAACCAGCCTTGGCACATTGGATTGGAGGAAAACTGAACACCCAATCTGATCTGCAGGTGAACGTAGGGATGAGACAAGGAGAGGGGAGTGGGGGTCGGGAGGGATGGAGGTCGGGGTGAGGGGGGGGGATTCAGTGGGGCAGAAGACAGATTTGCTCTTCTATTTGTCTGGAAAGTGGTTTGACTGAGCTTTAATCACTCTCAGAGGAAATGAGGGCGTTTTTGGTTTTTTTTTTAGAGATTTTTTAGCCTTTATGCGTAAAACGCTCATAAAATATCAGTTTGAAACTAATAATGCATTTAGATATTACCAAATAAATGCATTTTTCTATGTTGAAAAATCCTGATATTAGCAAATAATGGTTTAAACATTTAATTTATATAATTTTAATATTAATTATCAATTATTATGTATTCTTTTTATTAGTAGTAGTATTTATTTATACATTTGCATTTAACTGACAAAATCCATCGGACTTAACGTTAGTGTGGTTCATAAACGGTGCATTTTTATTTCCGTGAATTACTGTAGGGACAGAAGAGCACATTTTATATAAACTGGGTCAAAAATGGGACATTTATATTAAAATTATCCACAAAAGGGGCTAATAATACTAATATTTTTTGAAGGATATTAAATTATGCTCTTAATCACAGTTGCGTCCATATCTGTTAAACAAAAATTTCACTAGTTTCTGTTGAACTCATGAGCTAAAGATCCAGAGCCAAAGGTGAAATATGTCAAAGTTAGTTTGAACCCCTGCTCTCAGGAAATTAAACTTTTAGTTGGTAACAAGTTTGTCACAAAACAGTTCACCTTTTACCCAGTATATTCCGTTCACCTTTTATCCAGTATATTCTCACCAATCTGCAGTTTCCCTGTCTACAAGTAACAAAAACAAACTTTACTTCATGGATACAGGTTCAAATGTGATGTTTATAAACTAGACTTTGGGGGAAAAGGACAAACCAGTAAAGGGACAATTATAGTTTGTATGTTGTTGTCTGCTCTTTGTTTGCAGATGTCATTCACGCCTGTGTCTGTTTTTCATTATTAATCTGTGTCTCAATCCAGTCTGATCATGATGATATTTTATGATGGGGCTAAATTCCACTGTTGTTGCATCACCCAGAGAAAAAACAAACAAACAAACAAACAAAAAGAAACAGTAATAGTAAAAAATGTATTTTGTTTTCTTTGACAAAACTTTTTTTTTTTTTATAAACACTCAGTCAAAACACCAACAGGAAGGAGCTCAGTGAGACTGTGAGGTAAAAAGCCAGTCAGACGATGCCTTCACTGACAATTTATCCAAACATCTATTGACTGGCAATTCTCTCAAAATTTTAAATTGGCTCAGTTTTCTGTATTTCAGATTTCTGAAGAGGCATGCCACAGAAATGTTCAGTGCACTGACACAACTTTCATTTTCAACAGTTTGTAGAAACCTTCAATTTGCTGCTGAGATTCAGCTCCTGGTAGAAATTCTATTGAAAAAAGAAAAAATCCAGGTTTTAAAAACAGGCTGCTGATTTAAAGTGGAGAAAGAAATGAGCTGCAGTGTGGGTTTGATTTAAACGCATATCTTCTTTTTACTCTGACACACACACACACACGCTCACTGTATGCCCCCTCACCTTCCCTGTGGCACTGTCCCCTCTGTGACACTGTGTCCTCTCCTGCAGTGACCCAGTCGAGGGAGCCGGGCTGGTTGGAGGGGGAGCTGGAGGGGAAGAGGGGCCTCATCCCTGAGAACTATGTGGAGATGCTGTAGATACTTTGTGGAAATATTTATGGACAAGTTATCGCCTTCACTGGGATAAGTTATGCATGTGGCTCAACTCAAGTAAAATTCACAGTAGTGCATTGTTTATCCAAAAACTCTTCTAAAGAAGGTGCTGTATGTTTATTAAGGTGGCTGTGTTTTCAGTGTGCCGGCGTGGTGCTCTGTTAGTCCTTTGACTGTGGATGGTGAGTTTTAGTGTCGTCGATTCCAGAATGGTCCAGTACGCATGACGCTCTGCTTTAAAAAAAAAAAAAAGATATATATATATATATATATAAAATAAATAAAAAATGGCCAAGGTCTACAAAAAAAAAAGAAAAAATCCCCCTTAAGGCCTTTTATACAGAGCGAGCGTCTCTCCCCGTCTGCCCCGTTATACATGGTATCCATGAGCTTTCCATGCAAAAAGCTGTAGAGTCAAACGTCAGCTCTCGAGTCACAGAAGCTCTTCACACTTCCTGACAAGGATGCACTCAAATAGGTTTCCAGCAGTTAAAACGACCAGCCCTGCCTACAGTACGTGCACAGGTGCTGCTGTGAGTTCGAGTGTTACTGCTTTCACTTATTAAATGTTTTATTACATGTTATTTTAAGATTATTTAGGACATGAAATTGAGGCACTTTGCCGCTCCAGTTAATTTTCTTAAACGTAATTAGCTCGATAATTTTGCATGAAATCGCCTTGTGCCGTTATGTGTGTGGAGCACTCCTTTTCGGAAATAAAGTTAAAAATAAAAAATAAAAAGGTATTTGATGCTGAAGTGAACACAGGTCAGTTTTACTGGAGTCCGGGTTTGTTTTTGTTTTAACTCATTTTGTTTCTATTTTTAAAAATGTGGCGACACTCCAGTAGAGTTCAAAAGGTTAAGTTTAATCCCACCTTCAACTAAAGTGGCGTCAGAGCCAACATCTAATCTATGAAAACCCGGCGGATCAGTTTTACCAGTGATTTTTTATTTTTTTTTATTTGCTTTATACGCACAGAACTCCTCCGTCTGCTTTCTGGGCGCAGTGATTTCTCTGAGAGCTTTACTTCAGCAGCACATGTCTCCAGTTGCTGTTGCAATAATTTAAAGATGCTGATTTGTCATTTGTAAAAAGGTCTTGGACCTCCTGCGTGTTTCTTTTTTTTATACCTTTGGGTATTTTCTTGATCAATTTTAAGCCAATAAAGACTTCTTTGTTGTTGTTAACTGTTTGGTGGATTGTTCTTCAACGTAAAGTAACTCCATGAACGAATGAAATGAAGTTTTACTTTTGCCTGGTGTTGATACTTGATGCCCCCCCCCCCTGAGTCCTGACTTCTGAATTAATTGATGAGCAAAATCCAAGCAAAAATAATGTAAATCAGGAAGGTTGTTGAAATCCATCCATTGATCTTGACAGATTCTAAAAAATAAAGTGAAGGCTTGTGTCCCACTCAAAGGCCCTGAACCACCGTTTGTTAAATACTGCTGCAAACGCCTGCGTCAAATGTTTCTAATGTATTCCAGGGAAATGTTTAATACGTCTTTTATTGTGTCACTCAGTTGGTCCCCGCTCTAAGAATAAGTTGGTGGTAAAATGAGTATCGGTTCTGCAGCCCACGCTGCTACAGTCAGGCACGTAGTGTAACGTAAGCCGTCCTCTTTATATTGACCAGGACGCTTCCGTCTGACTCGAAGCTTCGTCCAAAATAACTTTCCAAAAGGGGATTAAAAATAGATGTTATTCTGTCACCGGGGGAAATGTGTGCTAATCCAGCTCCCAGATCCATTAACACCCTCGCCTCGTGCATGTTAATTCATAGTCTGTGTAATTAATGGACAAATGGCCGCAGCTGAATAATTAGCCGCCGGCCGCCGCCACATTCGTGGTTTCAGTTAGTGGACAGATGCAGCGTCTCAATGTAAACACACACACTTTCTGTCTGAGAAGTAAAAGAAGTGAAGCGGAAAAAAATCCAGTGTTCGCCGCCTCCAAAAAAACAACTGCAGACACAAGGACTACATAATGAGTGAAGAAGAGTTATTGAGACGAGTGCACAGCTGCCTCCACTGTCACCAGCGCCACCACCCACACCCTGGGACCTTCATCATCTCCCCCTCTGCCAAAATACTGCTGAATCACTGGGAGCTCGGCCCTACCTGTCCATCACTGTACTTTGTACTGTCTGTCAGGAAGTGTACCGTGTGGCTGCAGCTAGCCTTCTTCTCTGCCTCCCTGCTTCTCTTCGGGGGCAATAAAAACTTTACTCTCTGCTGGGGTCGTCGCCGAACAAATATTTTACAAAATCGATACGGATATGGGTATTTCTATTTGTGTACTGGCCAATACTTAATACTCTACGGACCAGCCCTTTATAGATGGAGTACTTTTTTGTTGTTGTTTTTTTTGTTTTTTGCTAAAGAGAATACCAAACCTGAGAAAAAAATACTCACTGTACAGCAGGGTTTTTATTTCCTTCAGAATATACAGTACTGCAGTAAAACTGATGATTAAATAAAGAAGTTTTTTAAAGAAAAGATAAATAAAATTAAATTTATTTCATAGTTAGCAGAGCTGAACAGAAAGTGAGCAGAGCTTAACGCACGACTTACTAAGACAATGAGATACTGAACTGCAGTAGCAAAACGCATACAGTACTATTTACTGAATCGTGCTCTGCTTGTTTTGGTACTGAAAATATCGATACGCCGATATATCACGATATTTTGTTTCAGATATTGCAAATATCCGCAATGTTGATTCATTTTATTTCTTCTTTAGTGATTACAAATGTAGATCCTTCTGGTCCGATCTTAGTCACCTGATGTTCAACATGTAACAACTTTGTGTGTTTGCCGTGCTGGCAGTTTTCCTAGAATTAATTTGCTTTAAAAAAATCGTGTCTATGGTATTGCAGTATATCACAATATATTGTGATATCGTTGGTGATGTATCGTGATACGTATGTTATTGTCAGATTCTTGCCAATTCAGTACAAAACCCTCGCACCGATACTGATATCGGTGCATCCCTGCTGTCTCCCTGTCAGTGGTCAGTGGTCAGTGGTCAGTTGTTCTTCTCTGCCTCTCTGTCAGTTTGTTCATCAGCTCAGGGTCGTTATCTGCCTCCGTCAACAGCGGTGCTAATCCGACCGGGTCGGTCTCATATCGGAGCGGCCCGACTGCAGCCTCGGCTCGACTTGACATTGATGAAGCGTGACTTGTAGTGATTTCCATCTCTGCATGCATAATACATCACAGCGCATCAGGCCCGGGATGATGGATACGCCGTACGTCAGTGTCACCGCGTCGCATCGGATGTGTGTTTGAATAAAAATGGAGACGGACCACGGCTTTTCTTATTTCCACGAGAACCCTGGCCGCCCGCCAGCTGTCCTCCAACACTCGTGAGTGTCCTTCAGCTGCAGGACCCAGACCAGCAGCAGCGTGACTCAGCTGAAGTCAGTGCAGCACATGCAGCAGCTCCTGGTGCTGAGGTGCACACTGGCATATGTTTAATGACAAAACCATTAGCCACCCAGGATAGTTCGCTCCATTTTACTGATCCCCAGGGGCCTTTCTGAGTATTACAGTACCTCACTCTGTCACTGCAATATTTCAACGACCAACGTCAATTGAAGTGACTTGACCCTTTGATCCTCTGTTGTCCTTTGGTCGAAGTACAGACTCTCGTTATCAACAACACAGTCAAGTCTCTTTTTTTGGGGGTGGGGGGGTTTCCTAAGGTCGTTCCAGACTTAATGGTCTTCTGGCATGGACACTGTCTTTTAGTTTACTCATTACATTACAATAGGGGTTTGGTTTTTTTTCCGTGAGATTTAGCCTTTTTTTTTTTCCCCGGTGTCGGTAAAATTTACTTTGTCTCTGGAGGAAGTTCATTTCATTTGAAAGTAGAAAATCTGGACCGAGTCGAAGTTTCTGTGCTGACCTTACCTTGGTCCGTTAACTGTCTGGTCATATCTGCTCCACATACACATGTCCCTAGTGTGGGAAGCACTGAAGCATCTCTCTTAGTCAAAAAGACTACTTGAGGGCTCGGCCAGCTAGCGCCGGCATCCGTAAGCGTGCTCGTATCCCAAATCTTTACCTGTATCTCGAAACAAAACTTTGCTCGAAGCCTTGCTCATATTTTGAAATACTCGTATGTATATCTCGTATCTACTGTACTTCATTTAGCTTTAAACATTTAGAGAATATAATTTTCATCGGTGGAGTTTTTTTCTTTGTAGAATGTTTCCCACAACCTGGGTCCTCGGCTGAGGACTAAAATCATGTTCTCTTTTAATGGGTTTTTTTTTTCCATTTGGGAAACGACAAAAAGAAAAAACAATCAGCTGACGATGGAAATAGATCAAAAAATGCAGCAAAGCTTTGATTATTTCTACAGGTTTCCATTAGAGTTTGGCAGAAAAATAAATGTTTCTTCATAACTTCATAATTCTTCATCTCTGAAGGCTGAAAGGTCCGATCAAATTAAATAGAGCACAGTTCCACTCAGGACAACAATGTAACAGATGTTGGAGATGGAACTCAATATGTTCTAGTTGTAATTTCATCAAATGAAGTCTATTAAAATAACGTTCGTCTTGGAACTTTTAGACTGGTATATACCCTTTTTGCAGAGTCCTCTCTCTCCCTCTCTCCCTCTCTCCCTTTTTTTAGATTCATTCTTTCGTAGCATTTCTTTCTTTGACTCTTTAGCAACATTTTTAATGAAAGTCAGATCTGCAGTTTGGACTCTTGGTTGAATTTCTCTGAGAAAATGACTCTACCTGTGTTGTTGTTTTAGAGAATGTAGCATCAGGACAATAATAGAGTCCGAAATTCTAAAAAAAAAAAATGTCAAAGTGTTGTCACTTTAGAGTTTTATTTTTATGTCTGCCATCAAACATCTATTATAGATTTAAACTGTAGGGGGCTCGTTGTCTTAACCTCGGCATCGTTTGTGCAACGCTTTAGTTCCTTTTTTTGCTGAAATAAAAATAATGAAAACCTTGTAACCAGTCTGTTCAGTCAGAAACACTTAGGAGGAAAAAAAAACGAAAACAGGCCTCGCTCTTTGTACAAGCACTTGGGAAATACTTTAAAGACTTCTGAAATATTACCATAATTACACAAAGAGCTGCGTGTAAGTCTGATGTAAAGTGAATAAAAACTTAGTGAAGAGATTGGAGGAGGGAGAAAAAAAAAAAAAAAGCCTTAGCTCAGAAAGTGGGCCACAGAAGCTGCCATGTGCGCGGGCGCAGCCGTGAAATCAGCCTGATCCAATAGATTCTGTTTATCTGGCACCACTACAAGTGAAAGCAATTGGAAATCTGGAGAAGATTTGGAAAGGGCTGTGGATTCGGAGGAGAAGAAAAAAAAAGAAAAGAAAAAAAAGAGCAAAAAAGTAATTCTGTCTGCTCCACTGTCTGGCAGAGCGGGCATGTTTTTAGAGCAGCTTTTAACGAGGTTAGCGGTGAGTTTTCACTCAAACGCTCGCCTGGCCGTCACTTCATTTCTGCCACTTTTACTTTTGTTCACTTTATCTCCCGCGCCTCTGACGACCGTACCTGCCGCTTCTCCTCATCGTTTCTGATTGTGCACATTTTTCATTAGCTCATTAACATCCCCGAATGCAGCAGTTTGAAATGCAACCAGATCAACCACATCAAGCAGACAATGAAAAAAGAAAACATAAAGAAAAGCAGGAATCGTGTCAAGTTTTGTTTTTTTTTATTAGAATCTCGCTGTTCTGCAAACACAAATATGGCAAGATATACAGTAGTATCTGTGTTTTCGATGGTTTGTTGTTAAAGCGATGTCTACTGTACGTCGTCTGGCTTGTTGTCGAGAAATATTGTACAAAGCATCTCAGTAAAAAGTAATTTTGAAACTAGAAACAAAAACAAAACAAAACAAAAAACAAAAAAGTCTGAATGTGTTTTCATAAGAAAATGCACCGTCATGGCTGTGGAGATATGGCTTAGTCTCTCTGCATCCCATTTATCACTTGGTGAACACTGAATGGCGATGATGCAACTCCACGTTCAGCCACGCAACAGTGAAGTGTGGAAACAGCAGTAGGACACATTCTGAGTAACTCCTGCTAAAGGGAGAGTCAAACTGACGAGTACATGTGTTAGCTCACGAGCTAACGTGTTTTTTTTTTTTGTTTTTTTTCAAAGAGCAGAAGGTCGGTTCTGTGACTCGTGGCTGTGAATCTTCCATCTTGTTTCTTTAAAAGCTCAGTTCGGGTCGTAATCAGATTTCAGTGTCTTTGTTTTTTCCTGACGGATGAGATGAAGATGTCACTCTCAAAAGAAGAAAAAAAAAAAGAAAAAAAAAGCAGCACCAATTCATCTCTGTGCTTCAAATTCAGTTCATACTTACATCGGAGTCTGTAAAAAAAACACATTCATGGCTCCCATAAAATAATAATAACAAAAAAATCCTATTTGTAAAAGTCTGATGCCACGTTACCCACAATGCAACTTAACCACAGATGGATTTGAAGTGTCATGCTAGTTATGCTAATAAGGTAGCCTCGAGCAGGAAAGGTAATCTCAGAGGTAGGGTGAAAAAATGCCTGTTATTATTATTATTATTATTATTAATATTATTATTATTATTATTAAGCCTGTTGTCTTGTTTAGAGGGTTAAGGTTACAACGATGTGTGCTAGCGCCACCTGCTGTAGTTTCTTATCCCGAAACAAGGGGAAAAAAAATCAATATAACATTTTGTCATAGTTGAAATAACAGAGATGTACCGATTGTTTTTTTCGCGCACGCGTTCTGTGTCGGAGAACATGAAAGGAAGATCGCACTCATAACTGGAGCTAACACGTTGTTAGCGCAGCGCATACATTGTCGGTTGAATGTCCTTTCCGTTGTCAACGTTGTTAGTTTTGGATACTTTTTCTGAGACAATGAAAAAGAGAAGTCACGCATTTGAGAGTTGGGTCCAAAGGGACCCATTTACATCCAGTCATCAAGCACTTTGAAATTAATATTTTGAAATTGATATTGATATTTGTGGGGAAATGTTTCATGATTATTTACTTTTTATATTTGCTCTCAATCAAAGGAAATCAGTGTCTGCAAAAAATCGTTATTAAATTCTTAGTTATTAGTATTAGTAAGTATAGTAATTAAGTCGCACTAAAAAACACAAAAATTGGTGCATCTCAAAAAAAAAAAAAATTGTAACCATTAATTTAAAAAAAACTATTGGCTTCATATCATTTATTTCACATTGGGGAGAATTAAAAAATAATAATTACTTCATTTTTTGTAGTCAATGTAAATTTAGTCTAATTAAAAGTTAAATTAATCTGAACTCAAAGGTCTTAACATTTTTGTTTTTTAAATTTTCATTTGTGTGTGCGAATAGATTTCTAGAATAGATTGTGTTTCTGGACAGAGAGGACGATTTTATATATCCCGTTTTTGTCCACTAGGGGTGTTTTTTCTGTCAGGCTCTCAAGAACAGTACCACCATGGATTTAAACGTTGTTACATTATAATTTTATTCTTATATTATCTGTAATTGTTTGACTCTCTAACATTCAGGTAGTAAGTTCAATAAGTCTCCACATGGTTTCATACATTCATTCACGTGTTTGGCCCTTTCTGTCTCCGACCCTCGATGTAAAACTGCTCTCTGTGATCCAACACAGAACACGGAGCGCGGGAGAAACCTACCACATCCCGACAAAAGAGGGATAAAGTAGAAATGTATCACACTCAACATAAGGACTTGTCGTTGATATTTACAATATATATTTATATATATATATATATTTTATATATATATTTTAAAATTGTAAATCAGGTGAGATAAAAAAGGCACAAGTTTCCCTTTTCAAAGACAATGTAAACATCTCATCAAAAAGCATGCATCATTTCAACAGTTCATTTTACAAAAAGGATATTGTTGTTATTCTCGTGTTTGTTTGTTTTGTTTTTTTAGACAAAGTACTTAAATATCGTTTTCCAGCAAAATATATTTCTCTCAAAAATACTTTCCCATTCATCCTATGAACCTTTAGTGTTTTTATTCCTTGATGTGGCCAAACAGTGAGAAACAGTGAGAGATTAGCTTGAGGGTCCTTCATGACGTGAACACAAATGAATGACAAAGGCAGGCTCTTCTGATTAAGGGACTGTGTGAAAGTTACTAGTGGAGTGAAATATTATTGGCAAAGCCAAGGTTCGGCTTATAAAAGTAACATATTAATAATATTTTTTTATGTAAGAAAACATTTTATCAACGTCCCACATTTGTAACAATTAATATGTAAGAAAACATCAACGTCCCACATTTGTAACAATTAAAAACACCCGCTCTTTCTTTGCCTTCCCTCCCAGTAATTTACACACGGTCCCTAAAGACAACCATGACTTTTTTCATGACTTTTTTTTTTTTGTACTTTAATCTTCACACAGTTACTTCCACAGAAGAGAGCTGACAGTTTCTCTTGAAGCCATCTTCAAGTGCTGAGACCACAAATACAAATACTGTAATACACCCTGCTGTGCCAACAAAGTTCAGGTTTTTTTTGTTTGTTTGTCTTTTTTTTTTTTTTTTTCTTTTTTTTTTTTTTTCTTTTTTTTTTTTTTTAACTTTTAGGCTGGTCTACGACACAAAAAGTCTTTTTTTTTCTTCTTCTTCTTCTTTCAGAAACATCACAGTTACTCATCAAAACGGACAATTCCTGCTTAGCTGCATTAATGCCTCATTTCACATTGTATCTCCTCTGTGCAAATCTAAATGTGGAAATAGGATCGGGCTAATCCTATAAAATAAAGGCATAATACCCAAGCTGTAAGAGCAGAATAACAATGCGTGTGCTTGACTTAAAAAAAAAAAAGAGAGAGAGAACAAACAGAAGCCGTGCTCGCACACGTCCGCACTCGCATGTAAATACACACACACACTCACGCACACTCGGAAAGAAAAATACACACAGGCGTACGCACACACTGTTTTCCTCGCCCAGCATCTCCATCACTATTCAGTAGCATCAAAGTCAAGTTCCACAAGCACACACAAACCAGGAGGGGGCGCAAGACAGGTGGCTGGTCCAGGTGACTGGGCCTGACTGAAGTAGCAGTAGCAGGCTCACAGGGAAACACAGGAGTTAAATGACGAGAAGTGACTCTACCAACAGTTCTTCATCAACCATTCATGGACATGTTACTTCAAAAACATCTGTACAACAGTCGGAGAGAGAGAGAGAGAGAGAGAGCGAGAGAGAGAGAGAGAGAGGAGTCGAAGGAGTTCATACCTGTACACGTTTGTCTGATAATAGGAGCCGTTTGCTGTAAGCGTGGTTGACTAACTCTTGGTGTTTGGATTATATCGACGTCTGTATGTTCATATAGTGTCACTGTATACTGACTGATCTACAAGGTAACTGTACATGTTATGGGGTTCAACAGCCTGGCGTTCTGTAGAAATGAAGCACCTTAATGTAAAATGACTGGCTTGTTACAAACTAAACCTCCGCGACGCACTTTTACAAAATGCCTTTTATTGTTTGTGGGAAGAGTAGATAAGTATAGACTGACAGAGGGCTGGTTCGGCTTCGCTGTGAGTAAAAACAGACATTTGGACAGCTGCTCTGGAAATAACACAAATGACAGCAATTACTACGGACGCACCTCAGTCCAGTCCATTACGGCCGACTCTGCTTTTAACAGGTGATGTTTTTCCATCCTGAGGTAAAACTTTCATTAAGTATTATCCTTTTTATTTTTATTCCCTACGACAGAATGTCTTAAATAGTGATTTTGATGACATGGGAGCTTCGCGTGCAGGTTTGTCTTTTACAAAGATACTTTTTTTTTTCTTCTTTCTTTCTTTTCCTGTCTTGAAAAACAGAGAGAGAGAGAGCTTTGGGTGTTTGCATATTTTTTTTTGATTGTGTTTCCTACAAATTGTCTTTAAAAACTCACTATGTGAATGAGAAGGATGGCTCTTATAATAACACTGATTGAGTTCCAAACATGGACTTGTTAGATTGGATGTAATTATTAAGCCTATGATGACGCTTGTATAGCCCTTGGTAGAGATTCAGAGAGAGGTTTTTGGCCTCGCGGTCTGTCGTTTCTGTGCCTCCTCGTTGTGTCCTTCGTCTTTTTTTCCCCTCTTGCAGCTCGGTGCTACACTGCAAAGCAAGATCTAAGTATCGGCATTTATTATTATTGTTATTATTATTATTGTTATTGTTTTTAATAGTGCTATTGTTTGTGAAAGACTGCATAAGCCACGGTAAGGTAATATTTAAAATCCTTTTTTTTTTGTTTTGTTTTTTGTTTTTTTTTTGTAGATTTGTACGGGAGTCTGATTTTAGTGCATGTGGAGTGCATCTGTGCGTTTAGGGTGAAGTCATGATCCCTCAGCGTGTCTTTGTGTTTGTGAGTGTATGTGTGTGTGGGGGGGTGGCTGGGTGCATGTAGTGATTATATCTAGAGCATCCTAAGAAATGTATGGCTTCATCTCCATATAAAATACTGTAATTGTCTTTGGGGCTGCGGGGGACGGGTGGTACTTCTTTGTCACATTTGTCACAAGTGCTTGTCAGCGAGTCACGCTGCTCCAAGGCTATTCACAGCTCTGACCTGCGTATGACTGCACGGCCCAATCCTTCTTCCTCTGTTTTTTTTTTCTCTTGGGTCACCAAGTCTTTTTATTTTCCAGTCCCAGTCAAGGACAAAGCGGGTGACAGCGTGCAGGCCGACGGGTCAGGCTTTTTCTTGCACATTATCTGTTCCTTGAAATCCATCCTTCATGTTGCGTCCGACCTTAGTCTTAAACCAGTCACTTCTTGTGGAAGTAGATTGTGTGAGTGAGGCCCGACTCCACCTTTGGTATCTGGTCACTGATGATTTCCACCAACATTTCCGGGAACTCCACCTTCAGCGCCTGGGACTCGCGGAAGGTGTAGAAACAGAAGTCCAACAGGTTCCCGACCAGCTGGAAAACAGGGATGATCAGAGATATTTGAATTATAGTTGGCCTTTTTTTCCTGTATTTATTTACATTCAGATGTTTAAAAAAATCCACAAAATGGTAGTTCAGTTCTTTATATTTGTTTAAAAATTAGTACTGTCTCAATCAACATATTAATTGCGTTTAATAATTTGATTTATTAATCTGATTTTTATTTGTGCTGCGAAAAGTTTGTAGGCTGCCACAGGAGGCGCCATTAGGAATGTGGTTCCTCTAGGAATCGATTAGTCGTGATTAATCAACACGACCCTGTGATTAATCAGATCAACATTCATAATCATTTGTCAGTCCTGATTGTTCATTCTCTGATGGTGCACTTCCCCCTATTACTTCACCACTGGAGGGCACCACAGTCATTCAGGGCAAACCTGGGTCAACTGTTCAGCATTAACCTCATTCACACCAAGCTAGGGGTCATTGTGTTCTGGTGGGGTTTTTTTTTTCTCCCCCCTGTGACTCCCCTCTCTCTCGGGGGTTCTGCCCACCGTGTCACGACCCGTGCTCGTGATAAAAACTGTAAATGTGCAGCGTTTCCACAGCGAGCACTTTGATCCAGTGAAAACTGAATGACCATTAATGCCCC